ATTATGGTCTGAGTAGCTTAGTTGATTAGAATATGATACTAATGAGTTCAATTTCCCCTTAGATTTGATGCTGTTTCTTTGCTACAAACTGCATTCTTATGTATATGTCATAAATGTGAACCATTCTTACTATGAATAAAATGTGGGTGGCTTAGTTCAATTCAACTTTACTACTAGAAAAATAACTGCCGTAGGAAATTGAATCTGAAGCTCACAATGTCTACTACCATTAAAATAAAATGGGTTGAAAATCCACGTTTTTTTTTTATCATTTTTTTAAAAAAATTTGAAACAATTGGGCATAGCCTTCAAGTATGTTCTGAAGTTGCTTACTATTGGAACTGTATAAACAGAATTGTTTTCATCAGGAGTTTCTCTGTAGGTAAGCAAAACAGGCTTCTAAAGTCAATCCTCTTCCACACCTAAAAACAGATAACCTTATTAGCCACATCACTGATGTCTGAAATTCTAGAGGTTGGAGGTACTTCGCTGCTGTCAGAGGGCCCTTGTTAAAATGCAAGTGTTATTTGAGAAAGGTAACACTCATATTCTATTCAGGGTTAGTGCTTGGCCAGTAAGGAGTGTAACAGGTGACTTTTACGTTGATGTTAGTTTTTTCACCCATTATAATTTTCTTTTCTTCCCCTTTCCCAGCTTCAAGACATCAAGCACCTAACAACACTGTGCTGGTGATACAATGATAAAAATGAAATAGTTCCTGCCTTAAAGAAACTTATATTCTATTAGAGGGAAACAACACACACGCAAAGAAGTATGTGAAGTATATACTGAGCGATTACAAAGTCATTGGAGAAGCCAAGGCACTAAGAATCAAGAGGGGGTGAAGGCAGGTGATTCAAGAAAGGCTTGAAGCAAGTGTAACTGAGCTGTGTTGTGAAGAAAGCACATAGCACAAGACCTTGATGGCTGGGTCTGCAGCCCTGGGTTCAAATCTTGCACCTGGAGATTGCCATGTGACCTTGGGCGCGTTACTTAACCTTCTGGGCCCCAGTAAAAAGACAGGGTTAGACTAGATGTCTTCTCAAGTCTCTTTCAGCTCTAGAGCAATTACAAACTGTCTTGATTTAAAAATAAACAAACCAACCTTACTTTCCCACCTTTTAGCTTTGAAAGCAATTTAAGGAAGTTTGGTCTGTTTCTTGATTTATAAAATGTAGATGATGAATCTATAGAGGTACATTATGTAGTGTTGTTGCAATGATCAAAGGAGAATGTACATAAAGCATTTTGAAATCGTTAAAGCTCTTTATAAACAGAACTATTAATGCTCTAAATGTGATGACCCCCATATATTTACAGAAGGCACAGGAAGTAGGCAGACTGGCTTGAATACATGAGGCAAAATGTCTAATTACCTGGATAGACAGGTTGTGGGGAGATTGAGAAAGGCTAGAGTAGGGACTAACCTTTGTCATAGTATTTTTAGATGTACAAAATAAAAAACATAGGCTTAGGGGCAGCTAGGTGGCGCAGTGGATAGAGTACCGGTCCTGGATTCAGGAGGACCTGAGTTCAAATTTGCTCTCAGACACATAACACTAGGTGTGACCCTGAGCAAGTCACTTAACCCCATTGCCTAGACAAAAAAAACAAACAAACAAAAACAAAACAAACAAACAAAAAAACCCCTTAGGATTACAAAGGAAGTTAGTTTCTATAAAAACCAAGGTCACGCTGCCCAGGTTAAGAGGTCCTGGAGAGGCAACAGGGAGCCAATGAAGTCTCCTGTGCAGAGCAGTAAAGTAAGCCCTGTGCTTTACTCATTTTTACTCATGTTTGTCGGATGGATTCGAGTGGGGAGGCCGGAGTCAGGGAAACCAAAGAGATTTCTTTTACAATAGTGTGGGCCAGCAGTGATGGGGTCGTGGGGGGTGGGGGATGGGGGAGCAAATCCACAACATAAAAGCCAGGTTTGAGGTACAGCTCTGCCGAAACTGCCTACAAGACTTTTGGAAAACCTCTCCGCCTCTCTGTAACCTCATTTATAACAAGAAGGGGCTGGACCAGACGACCTCAAGTCTCCACAACCCCACAGCTGCTTTCTCCGCGCCTCAGTAACAAACTCTAGCGTTGGCGTTTCCGTCGTCGTCGTCATCACGACCTCTGGGACCACTTCCGCTTCCGTGGCTCCTTCGGCAGCCCTGAGGCCTGTGCAGCCTCCGAACGCCAGGGGGCGCTGAAGCCACTCTTGTGAAACCGGCTACTCTCTCCCAGATCTCGCGACGGTTTGGATCAGGGTAGAAAAACGCGTGATGCACACGCCGGAGGAAGCTTCGGAGACGAGCCCCGCCCCAGGTTCCTAAAGTCTCGCGCGAGCTGCGTCTTCGGTCTTTTGGCTTTCAGAGCGGGATCATGGCGGTGGGCAAGAACAAGCGCCTCACCAAAGGAGGCAAAAAGGGAGCCAAGAAGAAAGTGTAAGTGGTGACTGGTGCCGGGGGTCCCACGGCGGGGGTCCCCCGAGGCGGACGGATGGGCCTGCAGCCGCGGTGCAGGAGGGATGGCCGGGATGACGGATGGATTGGGCTCGGCCCAGGCCGACCAGCGCCGGGGCTCGGACCGGGGCCTGGGGCCGGCGGAGGCCGCAGCCACGACTCCGGCTACCTGGGGAGGAAGGCGCCGGCCCCGGTGCGCACGGGGCGGGGGGCACGCCAGTCCCCGCAGCTTTGCGGCTCCGCCGTCGCGCCCAGGCCCGACCCCACGAGGGGCCGCTCTCCTCTTTGCGCCTCCTGGGTGACTTGCCTCGATTCCCCCGGAGCCCCACGCCAGCCTGGTTGGGCCCGCCGCGGAGCCGGGGCGGAGGGCGGGGGGAAGCGTTTGTTACAGCTGTTCGCTTCCTTAATTATGTCCTGAGAAAGTTAAGAAAAGTGGGCATTCAAAGTTGAATTCCATGCAGTGGAGAAACTGTGCGTGAAACTGCACTTGTATTTAAGTTGCAAAATCTGTACGGAATAATTGTTTGAGGCTGCCCTGCCTATGCACACGCCAGCCTGGTGGTTGCTAGTTAAATACCCTGTATGTCACAGTGACCTCCTAGTAATAGAAGGCATTCCTGTAGCCCTTTAAAGTTTGCAAAGCCCTTTACAAATATTTTCTAATTTGATCCTCACAACAACTTTGGGGGGTGGATAGGTGCTATTGTGATCACACAAATTTTAAAGATGAGGAAACTGAGGCCTTTAATGAACTTGCTGCATGTGTTAAGGCCAGATTTGAACTCCAAGTTCAGTGCTCTATCAGCTATGTTATGTAACTGCCTAAGAAGAATAATTTGTTCAAGTTTAGTTACGGCACACTTTGATTGAGTGCTCGGTGGCCATGTTTATGGATTTCCTTAGTGTATAACGGGGATGAGAATTCCACTGTTGTAGCTCTTATCGCTGTTGGCCAGGGGCAGTGAAAAGTAAAGTAAATTTCCAGTGGTCTCATTTTGTATGTGTTTGAGAGGGCCTAGATCAGAATCTTTTTAAGACCAGCTTTCTTTCTAGTATACCAGTAGAAATAACAAATAGCTAACTTCTGGGTTTTTTTTCTCCCCCATTCATAAAGGGTTGATCCATTTTCAAAGAAGGATTGGTATGATGTAAAAGCACCAGCTATGTTCAACATTCGAAATATCGGCAAGACACTGGTTACAAGGACCCAAGGAACAAGTAAATATCTAGTTGTTGGTTTGTGTGTGTGGCTTGGAATAGTTTATTTTGCAAACCATTTTTCCCCCTGGATGCTGAGAAGTGATGGAATCAAGGTGGTGATGTCAGGAGTAAAGTTTGGGGAAAACAATTGATAGCTGTGATAAGAGTAGCAAGAGCTTTTAATGCAGTTGAATACAGCTTAGACATGTAATAATCATAAACCCTCTTGAGGTTTATACAATCCTTTCTTCACAATAACTCTCTGAGGTGGATTAGTGCCCCAGATGCTTCATTAACTGTTACAGAGTTTTTAAAATAGTTTTTTACCTTATTGCCTAAATGATGCTAACTTTAACATCTGAGCTAAGGGGCTTTGTGACAGCTCTTTTTTGTGAAGGTTTGATGTTGCTGTTTTAGTTCCTAATAGTAGTAAGAAACCTGATTTTGTTTTATAGAAATTGCCTCTGATGGTCTGAAGGGTCGAGTTTTTGAAGTGAGCCTTGCTGATCTGCAGAATGATGAGGTTGCTTTTCGTAAATTCAAGTTAATTACTGAAGATGTTCAGGGTAAAAACTGTTTGACTAATTTCCATGGAATGGACCTTACCCGGGACAAGATGTGCTCCATGGTCAAAAAGTGGCAGGTAAGCATTGTATTCTGCATGACTAGATAGTTATAGCATTCCTTGCAGCACTTTAGTTCACAATGAAAGATTATAGGGACAAGTCACTTAGGACAGTTGTTAAGTTCTTTTTTTCAATTAAATGTGTAGGCAGTGTGTGTAAAACATGTAGAGCTGGGTTCTGGACTGACTTTTTGTGTGTGGTGAGAGTTGGCCAGTGGGGTTAAAGAGAGCATTGATAGAAACTTATTTAGTATAGAGGATATAGAACCATAGTTTGTTTAATAACATAGGCATTTTAGTTTCTAGGATAAACAAGTAATTTCCTAACTGGCCCTTAAATAAAAACTAGTATTTACTTGTTAGTATCACAGGTAATACTAGGAAGGAAACATAGTGTAATATAAATGGCATTGGAATCAGAAAACTTGAGGCTTCATCTCAGTTGTCTGCTGCTTAGTCTTGGGACCACTGGCAAAATCTCTGAGCCTGTTTACTCTTTAATCAGATGGAAATGATAATAGTCTTGCTAGCATAGCAAAGTTGTTGCATCTGATGAGATTTGAAACTGTCAAGACTCATAGGAGAATGCAGTGGTATTCTGGTGTTTCTCTAAGTAGCAGTCTAGATGTAAAGGTAGTTTTGGACCGTTTGCTCACTCTTTACCTAATGCATGTCAGGAAGAAGCACTTGCACATCAAGATTTTTTAAATGACAGCTATGGGAATGAATGATGACAAAAATGTTTCGGGCCCAAATGATCTGTAGTGATTATACCCTTGCATTTTTTCTGACATTCCCCTGTAAAGTAGGTAAGTTTTCTGGGAACTTTCAGACACCTTTCTTTTAGTGATTGCATGTTTGGTAGAGAATTTATCTTGCAGATCCTAAGAGGGGATTGTACATTTAATTTTCACCTTCACTTTCAATGTAATTAATTTTCATTATGGTATATTGTGTTTTAAAATAACTTGATACTAGTTAGTTATTTGTATTTTCTAGAATTTCTCTCACTGTTAAAAAAAGCTTTTTAGCTTGGATTTAATAGTGATAAAAGAGCTTAATGGACTAAGAATCTTAAAAAGCTTATTTAGAACAGAAAGAGATCCTGTTTACATTTTATTGCTATATTTAACATGTTCCAGTTTTTAAAGGATAATTGAATTTGAGAGAGGATAGGGAGTTTTTAGGTAGTGATAAAAAATGGAAAATAATCATTATAATTACACTTGATATATTGGAACTCCAGAGAATATTAGGAAATACATTTTTAAAAGGTATGGTGGGTGCGTGCCGCCCCCCTCCCCCCCACCCTGCAGCTAGGTGGCACAGTGGATAGGATAGAACACTGGCCCTGGAGTCAGGAGGACTTGAGTTCAAATTCGGCCTCAAACACATAACACTTAATAGCTGTGTGACCCTGGGAAAGTCACTTAACCCCATTGCCTAGCCAAAAAGAAAGGAAGAAAGAAAAACGTACCTATGGCAACAAAAGAGAAACCATAAAATCTATGTACAAGTGACAACTGATGGATGCATTCTTGTGTCTTTTTCTTGGATCTCCCCCCTCTTTTGTGCAGATTCAGATTGTTTCACTCACAGTTCTAAGAAGTGTAGCTTCAAAGTTCTTTGAAGGTGTCCAGCATGGGCAAAAGATAGATAAGAACTCATCCCAATACTATTTAGTGTAGGTACAAATAAAATTCTATATAGATTACTAGTTTCTGAGGTCAGTTTTATTATTATAATATGAACATGAATTATCAGTAAAGGTTAAATTCAGTTCACTCTGCTGTTTAAGAAGATAGGGAAGTTATACAGACAAATTCCCATCCAAAAAAGTTGTTCAGGTTTTGTCTTCTAGCTATACAGGAAAGTTGGCTACCCAAAATTTCTATCTTGAGAGCTTTTGATGGCTCAGATATTGTTCTTAAAATGAAATTCGTAGTGATTCAAAGAGCAGTATTCATGTCTCAACTTGGATGTTGGAGGTTTTAGAATTTTATAAATAGGAAGTGATTTAAATGATCACTTTTCCTGCAGTTGAAATGAAAATATCTTCTAATTTTCTAGACCATGATTGAAGCCCATGTTGATGTCAAAACTACCGATGGGTACTTGCTCCGCCTCTTTTGTGTTGGTTTTACCAAAAAGCGCAACAACCAGATCCGTAAGACCTCTTATGCCCAGCACCAACAGGTCCGTCAAATTCGTAAGAAAATGATGGAAATCATGACCCGAGAGGTGCAGACAAATGACTTGAAAGAAGTTGTCAATAAACTGTAAGTATCCAGGTTTCTGCCTTCATAGAAATAGTTAATTTGAGCCTCATAAGCACTGGCATGAAAATAATAAAAATGCATAATTTACTCAGGAAAATAGCCAGTCAAAAGCTTTGTTTTTTCAGTTCTCTAGACACTTACTAACCAGTTATAGTCTATGTGGTTTTTTTTTTAATGTGGTTTCTTTTGCTCTTAAATGGATACTTTTAACCTTATTAAACATTCATTGTGGAGCAGGAACTACCTTTTCTTCCCTGTGTTGTAAATCAATTGGCAGGGTTTAAAAGAGCATACTAGTGTTTCTTTTCCTCTTTTTTTGTATCTATTTTCTCTAATAATAAAAGATCACAATCTAGCCTTGGCATGTATGGTTCTTGTCTCTTTATGCAAGCTTCCATAAAAGATTAAGACTGAACTGCTGCTTCTCATGGGAATAAATGATGAAAAATGTTTCGGTCCCAATTGATATCTAATGATAATACACTGTTCTGATATTCTCATGCAGCATGGAGATTTTAGAAATGTTTCTAAATCGTTAGTGAAATGGACTTTAATGTTAGGATTTCTTTTTAGAATTCCAGACAGCATTGGAAAAGACATAGAAAAGGCTTGCCAGTCCATTTACCCCCTCCATGATGTATTTGTCCGAAAAGTCAAGATGCTCAAGAAGCCCAAATTTGAATGTAAGTAGAACTGAAATAGTGAATTTCTTAATTGCAATAGTAAGAGGTAGGGAATGAATGATGACCGCAGTTTTGGTCCCAAATGATGTTCCATGCTTATATTCATTTACTGACATTCCCAAATCTAGACCTGAGATTCTTGATTGCTCTCCATACCTGTTTGGTTCTGAAAATAAATCATCTGTTCCTAATAGTTGATGTGCTTTTATTTTTCTTTTTAGTGGGAAAGCTAATGGAACTGCATGGTGAAGGTGGTGGCTCTGGAAAACCTTCAGGAGATGAAACGGGCACAAAAGTAGAAAGGGCTGATGGCTATGAACCACCAGTTCAAGAATCTGTCTAAGAACTTTTAAAGATTGAAAAATAAAAATTTTATCATTGTGATGGTTTTGGGTTTTTTTTTTAAAGGTTTATAAATCAAAGTGGCAGTAGTATTTGCTGCTTGGAAAGGTTTCTCATAAATGTGGTAAGTAAATGCCTTGATATTATCCAATGAAATTGTATGATTGCTCTGTAAATAAACTTGTTATAAAACCACTGGGATTGTCATGCAAGATATGACCTTAGTTGAGTTCAGCAGGAATGGAAGGCTTGGGCCAAACTAATCTCACTTTATAAATGAAGTAGGTACAAAAATATAAAATGATTATAGGTTTGACAGTGAACATCGGAGCAAAGACATAAGTTTAGTTCTCAGCTTATTTACAAAGTATTTACAAATCTATTTAATCCTTATAACCCTAGTGACGAGAAGTTGGTTGTGTTTTGGATAGGACACAGTACTGGCAGTCTGTTTTGTTCATTTAAAACCTTAATGCCTCAATCTTTGGTAGCCTTTTTTCTCACCTTTGATAAGGAGCAGATTTCTTTGATTTTTGCAATAGAAAAGAGGCAGACATCCAGAGAAACCTTAACGTTTTGTTGTTCTAGTCATTTTTTGTTCATGTCTGGCTTTTCATGATCCCTTTTGGGGTTTTCTTGGCAAAGATACTGGAGTGGTTTGCCATTTCCTTCTCATTTTCCAGATGAGGAAACTGAGGCAAACAGTGCTTTGTCATACACAGCTAATGTCTGAGGCTAGATCTGAACTCAGGAAGAGGAGTCTTCCTTATTCCAGCACTCCACCCACTGAGCCACCTAGCTGCCTTAGAAATTTTACTAGCATTAGCTAGAACAGAAGTCTCCTGAGCATAGCCCAAACCAGATTTAAATGTTATTGGGAAATGCTTAACAAAATAAAAATACAATGTATATTTCTAAGTAAAAATGGGGCAAGGATTTTTCTGAGTCTGACACTATTGCATAGCTGAAATACGTTAAAAAAACCTTCAACACATTAAGAGCAATCAGGATTTTGAGTTTTATGAATCTGAGGAAAAGAAATGATAGAATTAGCCCACTGCCCTATTAAGGATTCTTAGTATTTGTGAATTGAATAATTCTAGGTTGGCTATTTGCTTCAGCTCTGGCCATCAAATAGCAATTCTGGAAGAGGAAAAGCACCTGATTTTGTCAGAAAACAAGCATGGCACAAATACGGGGAAATGTTGGAAATTTGAAAATGAATAGTGACAGAATCCGTTCTAAAAAACCAAGAAGAAAACTTGAATTCTAGTAGAAATAGGTTCAACTAGCAAATTACAAACAATGGAGAAATGTTTCCTTTTATGTGAGAATGATTACCTATAAAGCAATTATGATAAAAGCATTGTTGGTATTAAAGAACTTGAAAGCTATTAGAAAAGTGGAAGGCAATATTGCCCTTCCCATTCTATGCCTGTGCTTAACCACCCATTTTTCATCTTGAAGGTAAGATTATTCTCACTTTATAAATGCTAGTATTTTTCACGAACATATCAAGTGATAGGTAATGCATTATGAAGAACACAACTTGTAGTCAAGATCTGGTTAACCATTTAACCGCTTTAGGGTCCTCTAGTAGAATGTTATCAAAGAGAATAAATTACCAAAAATAGTTGCTATTTCTTCCCCTTTTTTCCTTCAGAATCAAGATCATTAATCCTAATACTTCAATAACAAAGACAAGTGAGAAATGGATTATTTTACTTCGATAGAAACAAGTTGAATGTTGGTGCAAGGAAGAGAATAAACTCAAAATTCCTGATCACTGGACAACATTTTTTTGGTTTTTTTTTAGGCAATTGGGGTTAAGTGACTTGCCCTGGGTCACACAGCTAGTAGGTGTCAAGTGTTTGGTCTGAGGTCGCATTTGAACTTGGGTCCTCCTAACTTTAGGGCTGGTGCTCTATCCACTGTGCCACCTAGCTGCCCCTCTGGACAACATTTTACCTACTGGTCAATGTTGTCCAGAGAATTTGCAAAGGCAAGATGGCTCGATGAGATTTCTCATTCCCTGAATGCTGTCTTACAGTAGAATTACTGGAGACTGGGTCCCAACACTTAATGTACGTAGCACTTTGAAGGAGTGAGTGGGATGGTAAATGGGCAAATGGATGATGTTATAAAACATCACATTCAGAATTATAGTATTATAACGAATTATAGTATTAAATTGGAAAGATTATCAGTATCAGTACAATAAACATGAAGGGTAGAGATAGTTCATTTCCTTCATGGATCTAGAGAAAAGAAAGTGCTAAATGTGCTAGTTTTTGTAGGTTTGTCAATAGTTTCCTACCAAAAGGGCTCATCATAGCTTCTTTCCCTGAAGGGAGAGAAGAATGGAAATCCTGGCTAATTATCAAAACTCAACATTTAACTGGAATGTGATTCTGAAATGTGAAGTTTCAATAACATGTCAGTAGAAATACTCCCTGAAGGGAGAAGATATAGGTGCAAGCAATGCTTTCTGCCCAGTTAGGATTCCTTAAAAAATTAAGAATGTATGATCCAGACAGACAATGATTGGCTAAATGCATATTTAATTTACACAAATACCACAATGCCTGAGTTAATCTATTAATTTGCAAAGTATTAAGAAATGAATATTTTTTTGTGTTGCTTTTGTTTGAAGACAACTTCTATGTGAGGCTTTGTGATTATGTGAGGCTTCTTCAGATGTCTTTAAAATGGCTGATTTTTCCAGATACCCAAATAACCTAATTCTTTCAGGATAATCTGTCTATATTATAATAATGCATTAGAGTATATATTTGAATTTCTAGGTAACTGCAAACACTTTAATATAAATTGTCTAGAATGAGATTAAGAACCTGAGTTGGAACTTGGCATCTAGAATGAGATAATTCAAGGTCCTCGAGTTGTTCTCCGTAAAACTCTGGCTGATTACAAATGTTGCAAAGAAAATGCCAATCTTAATAACCCAATAAAATAGATCAATTGTATTTGTTACTTGGTATCAAGGAGAATTCAGGGTGCTTAAAAGGCCCTGATTATGTTGCAATCTCCCAAATGGTCTCTAGATGGCAATATTGCACTGAATTAGCAACTTCCCCAATCCTTTTTTTCAAATAAATGCAAGTGGAAAAGTAGGCGTTAGCATCTCTGACTTCCTATTAGAAGTTTTGACATACTTAGTTGGACTACTAGTGTTTATAAAGAATGGTGTTGCAATGTGATTGATATGGCACCTATTAATTTGACAAAAGACACAAGTGTGTTAATATTTATCAAAGTGAGCATATTCAAAACTTGGTCTATTCAGCGACATTTACTTAAGATCAGCTCATCTTAAGAAAGAGCTTTATGTCAATAAAGTCAATTAAGACATATTAACAGCACTGTTCTGTCTCTGGCTTTTAGTGCCTCTTGGGAGTCTGGTTTCGGTTTTTTTAGCCATAACTTTTGGCAAATGTACTGACTACTGATTTTTCAGACTCACTGCCTTTCTTCCACAGAGCTTAAGTGAAGGACCTGTTCAGCTGTCATGACAAAGGCACAATAGGCATGACATTGTCCTACTGGGCCATATAAAATGGGACATTTTTTATGGTGGCCTCTAATTCTTACAGGGGAAAGTGCACTTTGAAGTCAAAGGAGAAAGTAATCATACTGTGTAAAATAATCTTAATATCTCTCAAACTCCCCTTTAAAATGTAGCTTTTTAACTAGAGCCCAGTATAACAAGCATTGTACAGAAGGGTCTTTTTACCATCACATAATTCAACTCTATAAACATTTCGCTACATGTCATATTTAATAACCTTGGCTGGAGACACTTTTTAACTGAACTGCTTCTCACCCATTAAAGAAATTCTGAAGGGAGGCAGGGATTGGCAACATACTGTATCAGGAAGCAGGCTTCCTTCTAAATTTACTCCCAAATCTTTGAGTTGCCTGATAAAATCTGCAGTTTTAGCATGGACTTAGAGCTTGTGAACATTACTGGCTTCATCATACAGCAATCATCTTGAACCTAGGTGAATTTTGCCTTAAATTAAAAGGCCACACCACAAAGAACATTTTGGTTTCCCATGGATAGAACGGGTGACAACGTATGGCAGCTCTATCCCTGGATCTCACATCTTCATTGACAACTTCACTGTTTTCCAGGAAACTTCGTGAACTAACTTGAAAAAAAAAAGTTATCTACAAATTCAAAGTATTCATAGATTTAAAAAAAAAATTATTGTTACTTGAGCAAAGAGACTTGCAGAATGTTTTTTCAGCTAAGATTACTACTACTTCCATTAGATTTACAGCTATTAAATTTTCTTGTTTACTCCCTTCTAAAAGCCCAAATTTTAAAAGGGATTTTGCCCCCAAGTTGGGTGTTTACACAAATTACAGAGAATTTTAATTTAAAAATACTTAAAATGATATTCCAGGCAAAAGTGGTTTTGTTGGTAAAACAGTCCAAGTGGTAAATACAACCGGCAGGAGAATCCAGCCCCTAGAGCTGCTTAACTCTGGGTCTTTTAAGTCTTCACCACAGCTCCCATTCCCACTCCTAACACCCTACTTACCAGGACCCTGTTGGAGAGTCCCTACCACAAAGAACAAGGAACAATAACCAAAAATGACTTCTAAACTATTAGTAAGTTGAAGATTGCATAGACAGTGCTGGGCACATAATGAACTATTGACTGACTGTTTTTTTAATTTTTATTTATTTATTTTTTTTGGTTGAGGGAAGGCTATAATAAGAGCTGAAAGGTACTTGGCACAGGGCATCAGATTTATATAAATTTGTTTCCAGCCAAATTCAACCCCTTCAACATGCTTTGGAAAGTTTCATATTTCTAAACATATTTCTTTTCTGCCAGTGTGTTTGGAAGATTGTCTTCAACTTCCCTGGTTCAGGCTCATAAATTATAATTGATTCGTTCTTATAAATCAAACACTTTGACCAGGTGCTTGGACTGCATCATGACTGCTAGCAGGACAATGGCTTTACTTATTTTAATCTCTGTACAAGGCTAAGCAGGGAAAAGAAACAAAAAAGTACCAGGGTGAAATTAACTACAGGGCTAATTTATGTCACCTCTGTGAAGAAATTTGCTTTGGGGATCTGCTTGCTGTTTTGACAGTTGCTCTGCAGTCTAAGACTTCTGCCTATGATTCATAATGCAGCAATAGAAGCAGCTACAGCTTATGTATTACTGAGGTAATTCGAAGAAAATGAATTTTTCTCTGGATACCACTAATTGTCACAGGAGTGTTCTCAGATGCAGAAACTGTGGTAGGTGATAGTCCTAATAAAGTAAAGCATATGTTGAGGGGGCAGAAAGAACTATGGCAGGCAGGTAAGTGTTGGGGGCTTTAGTGAGGCATATTTCAAGGCTGGTTTGGAGGTTTCACAAGGCAAGAAAAGTGACAAGAATTAAAATGTACCATTCTTTCCTTCTTCTCTCCTAATCCCTGTTCAAGGCTGCAAACTTTGAATGGAGCCATTACAGGGCATTATTATACCCTGTGCTGGGAAGATTTTCATGAGCCTGCCCATCATAAAACAGGACCTGCACTTGAAATAAAGGATATGTACCCAAGCTATTATAATTACATTTGAATAGCAAAAATGTTGTTTGTTACCAATCATATCATGATAGTTAAGATATGTAGAAAGCATAAATGTCTTTTTAAAGGAAAAAAATTAATAAGCAAGGTTAATTTGTTTGTACTGTTAGCGTCCCAGCTATGCAAGCAGTGGCCTGCTTGAAAGCCCTTCCCACTCTGTCATTTTTCCCTGCTGGAAACTAGAAATGACCTTGCTAATTCTGCTTGGGTTCTTTTAGATCATCCACAGTATGTGGGTTTAATATGTCCATGCTTCTATCATGAATGGAAATGTAAAACAAAACCCAGAACTCTTCCACTTTCAGGAAATTCTAGGGTACCATGTTACGTTTTGCTTACAGTAAAAAAAAAAAATAGTGCAAAAACATATATTTGATAGTCAAAGTAATAGTTCAAGTGATACCAAAGGCAAGGAATATTTTGTGCTGGCTGAGTCACATGCTTCTTCCCATTGCACAAACAAGGTTCACTCTTAGGATGCTTGTAGAACCTGAATGTAGTTTTTGGGGAAAATTCCAGATTTTCCTGCTCGTTCTCCACTCATCCAGTCTTCATCTACAGATTCCAGCTCTGTTATTATATCACCAGCCTGCGGGAAAAGATGGTTTTTAAATGGTGACCAGCTTCTCTTGAGCATAACCACTGAGAACAAGACTATCTAACCAACAGGAGAGATCTTAAGAATCAGCTCTCCTTTCTTTATGCAAAACGATAATCTTAGTACACTTAGAAAAACAGACGACAAAACACAATGGTGAAATGGCATCTGACGTTTGTTTGATGTTTCCTTTTCTCAAGTTCTTGCATTTATGAATTTTCATTCTGTTGAGCTTTCCCCCACTTTTATTCACCGTTATTCCCCTCCCCACAAACAAAAATTCTCTCAAAACTAATCTTGCCTTCAAAGAGCTCTTGTTGTGTTAGCTTTCATCATTATAAAAAAGAAAAAACATTTTTCAATCTTCAGTTGCACTCCCAAGGAACTACAGACTCTGTACTTTCATTTGCCCCCATAGATCATGGTTCTCTTAAGTGTCTATTCTTCCACGTTCTAAACCATCTCTCTCACACACAAGACCATAAAATATTTCTTCCTAGATCAACATTATTGAATCACAGACTTTCAGAATTTGCAAGGCTCTTAGAGACCACCTAGTTTAACTTGTCCCTGAACATGAATCCCATCTATAATGATCATGACATCCGGTTTCTGCTTGTAAAACTCCGGTGATGGGGATGCTACTACCAACCAAGTGTTTCACCTTTGGACAGCTCTAAGAGTGAAGAGGTTTTTTTCCTCACATAAAGCCTAAATTTCTTTCTTTGCAATTTCCACCTATCGTAGAGATTGGCTCTATGTTCATTATTTTGCTATCTATTCTAATTCTCCTTTACTTTAGCCTTCAAAAGATAAAAGCAAGAATTTTTGAAGCTAGAATCATAGGAATTAAAGATCTTAGATACCATCTAGTTCAATGTCTTACCTTAAAAGATAGGGAAGCTATGCTCTACAGAGATTAAATGATTTGCCCAAAGTCTCACAGAGGGTTAGTGACATTACATAATAGACTTTTGGTTCCTTCTCTACAGTTTCTAACCATTTCGTGGATTCCAACTCTAAGGCAATACAACATTCAGGTGCTTTTGGTGCTGATGTAGCTATCTGATGTTAAAAAATCCTTGAAAAGAATAAGGATGAATGGACTCTATTTCTGGTTCTGGTGGTGCTTCTTAGAAAAAGCTGTATGGGTTAGGACTTTGGTTTTCCTTCGTAGACAATGGAGAGAAAAACTATTGGCTGCCAACTGCCATTAACTCTTAGTGTCTGTTTGGATTATATGAGCACAGCTAGGCAAAGTAATTATGAAATAATTCAGGATAAAAAGAGTTAAGCTCCTTCAGGTCCACGGATTATAACTGTAACACGAGCTTCAATAGATTTTTCCCATGGACAGACACTGTTACTGGAATATTGCTAAAGAAACAAAGTATCATTCATTCTGTAACTATCACTCATTTTATGGGAAGTCTGAATGAAGTACAGAGAGGGAGGATGAAGAGAACTTCCTTTCTTGGAGAACTGTTTCAAGTTGTATCTTACAAAGAAACAAGAACATACTTTTAAAGAAGACTTTAGTATCCTGATAATTTAATGGTGGGACTATGTTTAAAAAATTGAGAAGTCTTCAGTTTTAGTGATGTAACGGTGATACTGATGGTGAGCTTTCTTACACATGATGTGTTGTGAATAATTATTTATGTCTGTTTTACTTTTTGCCATACCATAAATAGTATAGCCAGCAATTCTGATGTTTATTTTAGCCCAAAAGATTATGCAATACGTGTGCGTGTGCATGTGCGTGTGCCTGTGCATATAAGGTAGAAGACTAGAAAGGTGGGGGAGGCTAGATTTGTCAAGGGATTTGATTGTTAAACAGAGGCTTTTATATTCGATCACATAGGTGACAGGGGGCCAATAGAATTTATAGAAGAGGGGGTTGACATGGTTGAACCTACACTTTAGGAAAATCACTTTGATGGCTGAGTAAAGGATGGACTGGAGGGTTAGGCAGACCAACCAGCAGGCTACTGCAGTAGTCCAGGCAGGAGATCAGGGCTTGTACCAGAGTGGCGGCAGTATGAGAGGAGAGAAGGAGGTATATTTGAGAGAGGCTGCAAAGGTAAAATTAACAGATCTTGGCAACAGATTGAATATGGGTGCTAAGAGATAATGAGGAGTTGAGGATGAGAATTGAGTTTTGAGCCTGCCAGTCTGGGATGGAGAAATTTGGAAGGAGGGAAAGTGTTATGGGAGAGAAAGATAATGAACTCAGCTTTGGATATGTTCAATTTAAGAGATGTACAAGACATCTAGTTCAAGATACCTAATAGGCACTTAGAATTGGAGAGGTCAGAGGTTAGGGCTACATAAGTAGATTACAAAATCACTGGCACAGAGATGATAATTGGATTCATGGAAGCTGATGATATCACCAAGTGAAGTAGTATAGAGGAAGGAAAGCATGTCAGTAGGGAAGCAGTCAGTACACAGGGAGAGGCTGAAGATAAGTGAGAGAGTGGGAACAATAGAAAGGGTATTGGTGGATCCCAGGACCCCATGGAGACTTGTTTGTGTGGAAGCTAACACTGACACAAAAGTAGTCATATCATTCAACTTGACTAGTTTGCTTTAAAGTTCAGTTCAAAGGTTCCCTTACTCCTACATAAAAACTTTCCTGGTCCCTTCATCTGTTGAGATTTCTCCCCACCAAATTATCCTGTATTTATTTGCTATACATTTTGCATATGCTTATTTTAAACATACTTGCATGTGTACAAGTACCTTACCATAGAGAATGTAAGATCTCTGAGAGAAGGGTCTTTGTATCCCTAGGACACAACCCAGGTCCTGGCACACAGCAGGTGCTTAATAAATGCTTATTGATAGGTTAAGTTTTTATTTACTTTAAAAAACTTCATCCTGGATATCCTTTAATTTTTATATTCCTCATGTGGTATGCCAACTTGATGATAATGGCAAAATACTAGACAGTACAGGTTGCTTGGCACCACTTTCAGGGTAAATGCAGTCAAATATATGTATTCAGTGATTAGTCTCTTTGGCTAAAAGTTTACTGCATGAAAGATTCAACACAAACCTGATGGCCCAGATCCATGTGCCACTTTTAATACCATGTATGTGGAAGTCCCTCCAGCATGGATGCAGAATAGGTTTATCCTTTACTAGTTCTAACTACAAATATTTTGGTATTTTCCAGAACAAAAATTACAAGGCCATGGTCTGAGCATTTGGATCACATAGATGATAAGCCCAAATCAACTGCTTTAAGTACTTTTGCAAATTATTACCACCCTCTAAATTTTTAACTATGAATGTAATTGCTTCTAGAAATTTAGAGACCAAGATTTGTGAGCTTAGGCCAATTCTTGGCTTATGATCAATACTCCTTCCACCCAATCCATTCTTCAAGGCTAAGAAGACATTTCAGATTTTATAGCTGTTGAAAGAATTGCAGAAAGCTGACCTTGAAGGAAAGCTCATCTTCGTTCTCTCCATGGAAATCATATAAAGCCTTGGCCTTTTCTTTCTTCCGTCCTGAAGCAGGTATCAACTTTGCCTCAGCTATGGAACCTGACCAATAAATGCACAGATTTAGAAGCTATTGGGCAAAAGTGTAATACTATTAAAGCACCCATCTTGGTAAATACTCCATCCTCGTGGGATTTATTGTTTCTAAGTAAGCATAAAGTTTTTCCACTTGCAAAGGGGATAGAAAGAGTTTCTCCTAATAGTGGAAAATTTACATAAAAGCTAAATCAGTAGAAGGAATAAACCATTTAGGAAGGCAGGAATTTTAAATATGATGCCTCCACTCAAAAAAAAAACCCATTTAAATTGGTTTAAATACAAAATATGCAAAGCTTACTTTATTATTTTAAATATGATAGGTAGAGAAACAACTTTTTAAAAGTTCAGCGTAGTGCTAGGAAAAGGACTTGCTTGGAGTTTTGAAGTCCTCTGCCTCTCTTTGCAGTAAAGCATCCTTTCATTGATGTTAAAAATAGACATGAGTATTACTAGAGACTAAAAATCTCTATCTCTCTCAGGGAAGCATCATACCAAGGCAGGGCTGAACAAAGACTGCTGGGAAGATTCCTTCAGTGCTGTTCAATCTGCCCCTGTACCAATCAGAGTCCAGATGCTCAATGATTAGGATACGGTCTCCCTTTTTAAAGGGCAAGTCTTCATTAGTTTCTGCAGTAAAATCATGGAGCGCTTCACACCATTCTCCAGAACAACGATCCTTCTGTCAAAGAAAACAAAGTAGAAGTTGGATGGCAGGAAATGTAAAATCTAATTCTAAGCTGGTTTCCACAAAGCTAAAAAGCCAACATATCCACTGGAATAAAATTTAACAAGTGTTAATTAAAATGCCTACTTGTGCCAGACACTACACTAGGTATTAGTGATACAAAGACAGAAGTGAAATAATCTCTACCCTCACAGAAGGCATTTGGTTTGGTGGAAGGAAAGTGAAGGGGCCATGAAATTTCAAAGTCTAAAGATTTTTTCAAATAACACAACAGTTTATGTCATGACAGAGTTTATATGTGCCTTTTTTTTTGCTGCTTTTTGGTGATGCAATTGTGGTTAAGTGACTTGTCCATGGTCATACAGATCGTGTCAAGTGTCTGAGGCTGGATTTGAACTCAGGCCCTCCTGACTCCAAGGCTGGAGTTCTATCTACTTCACCACCTAGCTGCCCCTATATGTGCTTTTAATAAGAGCTAACAGTTATACATTGCTGTAAGGTTTGAATATGCTTTTGTTATATTACTTCTTTATCCTTACTTTGACTCATAACAATCCTGTAAGGTAGATGCTATAGGTATCTCCATTTTAAGGATTATCTTCTTCTCTAAACCTGCTTTTCATTCTAACTTGACTATCTCTTTTTTTCCTAAGTTTCTTAGCAATCTTTATGTTTGTCTTTTATTTACTTATTTTTCTCTAAACAATATTTTATTTTTTTCCCATTACATGTAAAGATAGTTTTCAACATTCATGTTTGTAAAATTTTGAGTTCCAAATTTCTCCCTCCTTTCCTCTTCTCCCCACTCCCCAAGACAGCAAGGAATTTGATATAGGTATTTAATGTATAATCACATTAAACATATTTCCACATTAATCATGTTGTGAAAGAAGAATCAGAACAAAAGGGAAAAACCACAAGAAAGAAAAAACAGAAAAACAAAAAAGTGAAAATAGTATGCTTTCATCTGCATTCAGACTCCACAGTTTTCTCTAGATGTGGACAGTATTTTCCATTGTGAATCTTTTGGAATTGTCTTGGATCACTGACTTAACTATTTCTATCAATGGCATCATCATTTACTTTTCTCCCATGTGCACAACCTTGGGGTTATCTATCTTGCCAGTTCTCCACCCTCACTCCTCATGTCTCCTATTGGTCCCCTCTCTGCTATCATATATGCCCTCATTACAATCTGCCTGGACCACCAAAATAGAATAGTCTCCCAGTAGGTTTTCCTGCCTCTATTCTTTCCCCACACCAAATTACTTTTGTCTAATGTTCCTTATATATACTAGTCCTCCTGACAAAACTCACCAGTGGTTTTTCTGTCTTCATTGAATAAATTTTATGTTCCTTAGCTTGGCTTTCAAGTCTTTTATAACTTTGCTAACTTAACTCCTATTCTGGCCACCAGGCACACTGGATTACTTACATGCTAGCTCCCAGACAGCAGGCCTTTCCTGTCACTACAGTGCTTTCTTCTATCCCTCTGTATCTGTTCAATTCCTCTTACCTCCCCTTCAAAGTACAACTCAAATACTACTTCTTGTAGGAAACTTTCCCTGACTGCCTTAGCTGGTAATAATTTTTTTCCCGAGAGATCATATGACACTTAGTGTTACAGTTACTTGTGTATGTATCCTATACCTCAACTAGACTGTAAGTTTCATGAGGGCAGAGACTCTATCAACTGTACTTTGGGCTGGGGATGAAAATGTTACACAGTGCACAAGAATGCCTTTCTGGTTATGGAGCAAGGAAAGGCTGTAAATAAAAGGTTCCTATGTAGAAAAGAGAGGGTAGAGCAAAGAATCACCTAATAAGCCCACGTCAGTCACTGTTGGGAGGGGGCAATAAGCAAGGCGGCCAAAGATGACAAAACGAGAGCCTTGATTGGAAGCAGAGTCAATCCCAGGCTTAAATATTCCAAAGGAGGGGACAGGGTGAAGCAAAGGGATGGTCTTTTATCAGGATAGAGATTTTGATATCAGAAGAACAATGAAAGCCCTAGTTCTATGATATGCCCCCCCCCCATTTGTTGCATTCAGCTTTCTAAAGGTGGAGACATGGTTTTTACTTATTTTTATTTTTTAAATTAAATTTTATTTTTTCTTTTAATCAAAATCCACTTTCTCTCCCTACCACCCAAACCCTTGCAACAAATATAAGTTGGCTAGGTGGCACAAGCGCCAGGTCTGGAGTCAGGAAGACCTGAGTTCAAATAGGGCTTCAGACACTTTGAAGCTTTACCTCTGTTTGATTCAGTTTCCTCATCCATAAAAACAACACCTACCTCCCATGGTTGTTGTGAGGATCAAATGAGATAATAATTGTAAAGCACTTAGCACAGTGTTTGGCATATAGTAAGTTCTATGTAAACATCAGCTATTATTATACCACGAAGCAAAACAAATTCCTGTATTGGCTATGTCTAAAAAATATGTGGAAGGCATAGTTTTATGTGTGGCCTGTGGTTGTAAGACCTTACTACAACTACCTCTAAACTTGCTTAAAGTGGGTAGGTATCATTAGCCACATTTTTGTCCATTTCTAAAAGATGGCAGGCATTTATCTAAACTCTCTATTTCTCCCACAGCCTAGTATAGGGCTATCACATAGTAAGCACTTGATAAATATTTGTTGAATTGAACTGTAAGTGGTTTTGTGAGGATGATCAGGTAACGGGGAAAGTAATATGACTTGGAGAGCACTTGTTCTAATAACAATCCTCTTGCCCCAATATGTAATTGGGATCAGTGGTGCTAGAAATGAACTTTGTTAAAAAAGACGTTGCCCCAGACAGCAGAAGTAGAAGCAGTCAGGTGTGCCATCAGGAAAAATGTCTTAACCATCCCAAAATGAAATGGGCAGCCTTGGAAGGGAGCGGGTTCCTTCTCACTGGAAGTGTTTGACAGAAGGCTACATGAGTACTTGGGAGGCAGCGTTGGAGAGCATTCTTGCTCCAGTCCTGGTTGGACTATATGGCTGGCCTCTGATCTCCCTCCTAACTCTGAGATTTGATGACTGAAAAAGGAACTCACCCACCACTGAGGAAAGCCCTGACCTTTCACTCACGGGACCCATCTGTCCTGCTCTAAAGAACGAATGTAATCGCTAAGAAGGATCTGCAGCTTCCATGCCCCATGACAGCATGAGAGTGAGAGACCCAATGGAGCAAGTCTGCATCTTTTCAGAAGACAGGAATGAAAGCAATAGAAGGCCCTGCCCAATTGCCAGTGAAATTTTGACAAACAGAACAGTTCTGTCAGGCCAAGCTTTCCAAAACAGGTTAAACAAAACAATAAGTCATCTGCTTTCAGTATTCAGTTTAAACACATCTAAAAGTCAAATTAGTAAGCAGTGTCCATTTTTAAAAAATTCATTCTACCATATTTATTAATTTAGTCTATCAAGTACGACGGTTAAAAATTGACCATTTCATTTGGGGTAACTGAGGTTAAGTGACTTGCCCAGGGTTACACAGCTAGTAAGGGTCAAGTGTTTGGTCTGAGGCCAGATTTGAACTCAGATCTTCCTGACATCAGGGCTGGTGCTCTGTCCATTGTGCCACCTAGCTGCCCCTAACCATTTCATTTTTGTTCACCTTTCTATGTGATATATGGAGTCAATTTTTTTAGTTCATTATGATGAATATTCTTAAACCTTCGGTTTTATGTTTGTATAGTTAACCCAGGCAGCCTACCTGTAAATGTAAACCAGAAGCATTTCTCTTCATATTCAGTGGGGTTCTTTTACCTATATTAAAACAAAAAAAATTTTTAAATCCCATATAAATTTAAATGACTATTTAGTCTGACATTTATCCTTTGGTACAATTTCTTTTTTTTTTTAATATACATTTTATTCCCCGCCCCCATTTACATGTTAAAACAATATTTTAACATTTTTTTTTTTTACCTTTGAGTTCCAAATTCTATCCTTCGCTCCCTCTCAACCCCCCTCCCTGAGACAGTGAGCAGTCAGACATAGATTATACATTTGCAATCATGCAAAGCATTTTTATATTAATCATTTAGTACAAGACTTGAATAAAAGAAAAAGAATGAAAGAAGGTAAAAAATAGCATGCATCAGTCTGTATTCAAACAACATCAGTTCTTTCTCTAGAGGTGGATAGTATGTTTCATCATCAGTCCTTCGGGATTGTCTTGGATTACTGCATTGCTGAGAAGAGATAAATCATTCAGTTTTTCATTGAACAATATTGCTGTCATTGTATATAACAATCTCTTGGTTCTGTTCACTTCACTTTGCATTAGAAATGCATCAGTTCATGTAAGTCTTTCCAGGTTTTTCTGAAATCACCTCGCTTGTCATTTCTTACAGTACAATAATATTCCATCACAATCATATACCACAGTTTGTTTAGTCATTCCCTAGTTGGGCATCCCTTTGATTTCCAATTCTTACCCACCACAAAAAGAGCTGCTATAGATATTTTTGTACAAATAGGTCCTTCTCCCCCACTTTTTTTGGATGTCTCTGGGATAAAGACCTAGCAGTGGTATTGCTGGATCAAAAGGTATGCACAGTTTTACAGCCCTTTGGACATAGTTTCGGGCACAATTTCCAAAGACATATACAATAATATTCTTTGAAAGAAACGATATTAACAACATATTTATTTAGTTCTTTATAGTTCACAATATATTTTCTTCAAAATAATACTATGAGGATTAAGAAGAAACAGATGATTACAAAAGCTAAGTGACCTGTCCAAGGTCACATGACTAGTAAGTGTCCAAGCCCACACTCGAACACAGCGTCTGTATACTTCAGTTCCAGTGTTCTGTTCTTTTAGGTGGGGTGGGTGTTGGGAGTGTAGACTGGTGATTGTGTCAGTGGAGGAAACTCCTTTCACTGATCATCAGATCAGGAACTCCCCTCTAACTTACTCTTTTTTTTAATTGATTAATTTATTTTTAGTTTTCAACATTCACTTCCATAAGCTTTTGAATTAAAAATTTTCTCCCCCTCCCTCCCCAAGACAGTGTGCAATCTGGTATATGTTCTACATATACATTCCTATTAAACATTTTGACCTTAGTCATGTTGTAAAGAAGAATTAGAACCAATGGGAGGAACCACAAGAAAGAAGAAACAAAACAGAAGGAAAAAAAAGAGCAAATAGTATGCTTCAATCTGCATTCAAACTCCATAGTTCTTTCTCTGGATGTGGATAGCATTTTCCATCATGAGACTTTTGGAGATGTCTTAGATCCTTGTATTGCTGAGAAGGGTTAAGTTTATTAACATTAGTCATCACACAACGTGGCTATTACTGTGTACAACGTTCTCCTAGTTCTGCTCACTTTACTCAGCATCAGTCCATACAAGTCTTTCCAGGTTTTTCTGAAGTCTGCTTGCTCATCATTTCTTACAGCACAACGGTATTCCATTACATTCATATACCACAGCTTGTTCAGTCATTCCCCAATTGATGGGCATCCCCTCAATTTCCAATTCTTTGCCACCACAGAAAGCCTGTAACTTACTCTTAAGAGGGTTACCTGGGGGGGGGGTGAGGGGGGTAGGAGACGGACAGGACTACTGACTGAAAGGCTAAAGACTTGCCAAGGGTCACCTTGATAATATGTATTGGGGGCAGGATTTGAGCCTAGGTCTTCCTGTCTTCAAGGATGCCCCTTGATCCACTATGGAATGCTGCCTTTAATATATGTCTGGGTATATATAATACAGACAAACATACACATATGTATGTATATGCTCACACATATATGTTTATATATGTGTGTGTGTATATCATCACACACAAATAGATTTCATCAATGTGGCCTGTAATGCATCCATGCCTGCTTTCATTCCATCCAACTCTTGTCCATGGCCTCTCCTAAGTTCACCACCTAATGTGCTACAAACCTTTCCTGATTTCTCAACATTACAAAGATACCAAATGAGTACACGGGCTGTTCATGAGTTATTCCTCACTCGTAGCACACACACCACCAGCCCACTCATTTCTTTGATGATAAACTTTCTTTTGTAACATGATTAATGTATCAAACAATAATACGCTTAAAAAAATCTTTCAGGGACACCTAGGTGGCACAGTGGATAGAGCACTGGCCCTGGATTCAAATCTGACCTCAGACACTTAACACTTACTAGCTGTGTGACCCTGGGCAAGTCACTTAACCCCATTGCCTAGCCAAAAAAAAAAAAAACAAAACAAAAAAAACTTCTTTCATTCACTTGGAACCCCATTTTCCCTTTTTCTTCTTCATGAGAACTCAAGAAAGATCCTTATTTTTGGCTTCTCATATTTTGTCATTCTTTGCGTGCGCTTGCTTACTCTTACTCAAAACAACATATTTTTTGATACTCACTTGAAACTGCAGGTATGCTGGTGCTCTGGTCAGAGAGATCCTCAATGATTTCAACAAAGTTCAGTGGGAAAATCCCCGTTTTGCCATTCCGTTCTCCTCGGGCCCATTCATCATTGACATATTCTTTAAGGAGAATCGTCTCTCCTTCTGAGAAACTTAACTCATCCTTTTGGTCTCCGATGTACTCAAACCGAGCCACGCATCTGGGACCTCTGAACAAAGTAAAAGAGTCTAAATGTAAATCTAAAGCGAATCTGACTCAAAATGCTTCAATAAAACCATTTTTTCAACATGTATTCTTTCAGGGCCTGCTATGTTCAAGGGACTATACTAGGTAAAATATAATTTTAAAATATAATAAAATCATAATAAAATATAATATAATACATTTTCCCAGGTTTGTTATTGCACTGGTGAAGGAAATTCCCTCCAGTGAGATCAGAAACTCATCGGTATCGGTTTTAGAGAGTGGTCTGGGGCCCTAAGAGGTTAAGTGATTAAGCCATGGTCACATAGATAGTACAGGTCAAAAGAAAGGCTTGGACTCACATCTTCCTGACTTGAAGACTGGCCTCTCTACTCTCTATCCACTATGATGCGCTTTCTCTTCAACAAGAAACAGAACCTATAAAAATGCCTGAAGAATAAGCTACCTCTTCTGAGGGTCTGTATTTCAGTTCACATTCACTCATCAGAATAAATGATATGCCCACGGTCACAAAGTATGGGAGATAATTAATGCATGTAGTCATACCCCTGGACATATCTGCCATTCACCCATATAATCATTTATACTACACAGTACACTACAGAATCAAGATTTATGCCTGGAAGAGAACATGGAGGTCATCTAGTCTGACCTCCTCATTTAACAGGTTCTATAAGGTCTAATTAGAAGAACAGGGATTTGAACTCCGATTCTCTGGTTTCAAATCCAATGTTTATTATAATGTACCACCAGTATGCCTTCTTGGTATATTTGGGACAAAGGGCAGAGGAGGCCAATGAGGCCGCAGTCACCCTAAAGGCACTAAATACAGGTTCTGCTAATGGTGAGAAGACAAGGACTAATGTAGTGTCAGTGGCAGGGTATGAGAGGTAAAATGAAAGGTCCAGTCATCATGAGGAAGACATGCAAGAATCTCACACCACTCTGGATCCCTAAATCCTACAATGGAACAATCTCAGTTTTGTCCTTTTCAAATGCTTGCTTTCCAGGAAATGGAATGAGGTTTATTTATTTATCTCTAAATGAGGTACAATCTTAACTCAAAAGAAAATGAGAATGGAGGCAAAAAAGTCTCCATTTTTCTTAAGGTCAGTATAGCTTAATATCCAAAGCTTACCCTTACATAACACCGGCTTTAGAAAGGAAGTTTCGATTACAACATGGCCCAGGCAAAGAGACTGCCTGAAGCAAGGGAAAGAGGTTGGACATGGCTCCAATCAAATCCTTATTTAGTTAGGTCATGGGTCAACTGCCAGGGAACACAGCTTGAAGTTCAACCTGCAGTCACAGTAAATGCAGCTTACAACCCCTTCCCCACCCACAGCCCAAACAAATCTGAAATCACACCCAAGTATTTGGTGTCAGACTGTTCATTATTTGTGGCAACCTCTGCATTTATTTTCTTATACCCTCAGGGAACATCTCCTTATGCCTGACCTATTCAAAGTCAGGTTTACAGCCTTCAACAGTGAATTCCACTTATTTTACTAGACTATACAATATCAGAAGAGGACATATAAATTCACAAAGAAGGCCCAATGACACCAAGAAAGGAAACCATCCCTAATGTTAAAGGATTTTCCCACATAGTTGTAACTTGTACGTAGAAAAAAGAACTACCTTCAACACACTCATACACGAAAAGTCCAGACATTTTTGTAAGCATCACACTTCTCATAAGTTTTAAAGTTTTCTATGAGGTATCATAGGATTTAGAGGAAGAAAGAACCTTAGAGATTATCACAATCTCCCTGAGCCTCAGTTTCCTTAAATGTAATAGGAGATTGGATTGGAACACCTCTAAGGTTATCTCCACTTCTAAATTCTATGGTCCTATGATCTAGCAACAACCACATTTTACAGGTAAGGAAACTGAAGCCTAGAGAGGTGAGGTGATTAACCCAAGGTCATAAAGGTAGCAATCAGCGTACCGCAGACCTTTTCAAAAGCTAGTGAATATGCCTCTTCTTAATTTCTCTGGATCTCAGTTCCCTCATCTGTAAGCTGAAGTGGGTACAATATCACATGTGGCCACCATATTATGGGTTTTGCTTAACTTTTTCTTTGTTACAAGAGAAGGATTTTGTGGCAGAGGTAGAGAACATACTGGGAAAAGATTCTAGTGTTTTAAAAAAGGCATCAATAAAGTTTCAAAGGAGAAACCCTTCCAGTTTCTATATCCATGATTCTATGATCCAGCTTCATACCCTTGGCCTGAAACTTTGGACTACAGTTGCCTCATCTATATAATTATTTGCAAGATGCCCTCTCTTCCGTTGCCAACTCTAAAACTCAATTATTATAACACATCAAAATCGAGATGATAAATGAAACCACACAGATCCACCAAAATCATTGCTTTGAGGCCCAGCCCTGAATGACCAAGTACACCTGTTCTGTCCTTCATAGTTATAGGACAAATACCAGAATTTATCCGCATTTGTTGTTTCTGTTACAATTTTAATATGCAGAGATATTTAAGGAAGTTTCCCTCATAATTAAAATTCACACTGACTATTCAAATGATTGTTTGAAGAGGCCCAAGCTTATTAACTTGGTGTCCTCTCCTAGCTTTCCTCTTCTCTAAGAAGTAATTACATAACTCACGTAACACAGTGGGATGAAATGGATCCTTTTTTCCCATTACCTCCTTCAGGAACATCAATCTGGCAAAGACAAAATTAATAGAACAAGTCATACATCTTCAGGTTTTGGCCATGGAAATGTTTATATGCTAAAGCTAAGAGCTTAGAAAATTCTTCTTTTCAAGCAGATTCTGTGTTTTTAATTCTATTCTACACAAGAACTGCCTGTGGGGTGTTGTTATAAGGGTTATTTTTTAGGGGAGGATAGGAATGGGGAGTTGGTATTAATAGATTTATTGTGTTCAAACAAAACCTATAGATATTTCTGGCTTTTTACTAAATGATAACTTCTATCAGGGAAAATGACCAAAAAAAAAAAAAAACCAAACCCCAAATCCAACAACTTAGCACTATCAAAATATTACTAGTTGCAGAAAATTACTTATTGCTGTAAACCTTTGTTTTGTTGAGAAGAGTCAAGTGTATGGCCCCAGAGAACCCTTTGATGTTCCAGATCTCTAGTTATCTTTGTCCAGTAACAATATTTGGTCAGACTGGACAACATTTCCCTAATCAGTGGAGAATGGATTTATATTTGTTATCTATCTATTCTACTTTGCATCTAGTTGTTTTAAAGGTTTCCCTTTTGTCCTGATGACAGTATCAAGTGACACTTTTGCCAGGTTCTACAGCAAACACATCTGCTTGTACCTTATCTAGAATGATTTGTGTTTCACCTATAGGTGCCACAGTTTTGAAAAAACACTGGCGAGGACATCCACAGGAGAGCAACCAAGATGGCGCTAGATCATACCACCTGAGGATGGACTGAATGAAATAAGGATGCTCACCCTGCAGTGGAGACGCGGAAGGTGGGAGGTGCTAGTATAACTGTTTTCAAGCATTTAAAAGGCTGTCACTTGGAAGAGAGTTTGGACTTGTTCTGGTAGGCCCAAGAAAGCAGAACTCGGAGTAATGTCTAGACCTTAGAGAGAAGCAGATTTAGGGTTGAAAAGCCAACCAATAATAGCTAATTCCAAAAAAGGAATGGACCTCAGGCAGTAATGACTTTCTCCTCCCTGGAAGGTTAGAGGCCGGGGCGTGATGACCATCTGTTAATGAAAACTATAAGAGAGATTCCTAACTGGATATGAATTCACATGCATGACTATTGAGGTTCCTTATCAGTTCATGATTCTATGAAGTTTGAAAAGTTTTCTTGGCTTATAATATAGTGGTTTAGAGGATAATCAGTCAGGGCTTTGTTCACTTAGTGATTTAAGAACATGTAAAAACATAGTAAAACCATCTCATCTCTGGGATGCTCAAAGTTTACTCTATCCCTATTTTCTTCCCTGGGTACCACTTAATGCAAAGGCTGATGACACAAATTCCCAAATGATTGTCTTATGCCAAAAAAAAAAAAATCAGAAACTAAAAACAAAAAAAAAAGGGAAAAGTTGTGTCTATGACTTTTTTCTTTCTGAGACTTTGAAGTCAGTTTCAATTTATGGATGGACTGATAGTGTCCAATCAGTGGTTTAGCTAGAAATTTTGGGTTACCAAACTGTGATCTACAATGCAGGGACCATTTGGGTGCTATTTATGATAAAGGGCATAGAAAAAGGAAGCAGTAAAGTTTTCTTTATTTTGCCTCTCTACATAATTTACTATTGTTCTCTGCATACTTCCCAAAATAATGCAAGCTTCCTAAGGACAGGGACTATTTCATTTTTGACTTTGTAGACTTGGTGCAGGACACAGTGGAAATGCACAAAGTAGGCTCTCAATAAATCTTTGTTCAATTGAATTGAATAGGGGCAGCAAGGTGGCACAGAGGATAGAGCACCAGCCCTGGAGTCAGCAGGACAAGAGTTCAAATGTAGATACCTGTTTTAGCTATATGACCCTGGGCCAGTCACTTATAATCCCAATTGCCTTCCAAAAACAAAATCAATTGAATTGAACAGTTATAAGTATATATTCAAGAAGCTTTATAAATGGATGCTAGTTATTCTGTCTTAGGTAATAATGAAGACAGGTATGAGTGGGCATGCTACATGAGAGTAATGTTCTAGTTACAGAAGCTTAGAGAGCTCTGAAGAATCCCTATCAGTGGTCACTACTACAGTGGCTTAAGGGTCTGCCGTGATCTCTGGGTGTGTTCCTTGGTGGTTCTCATCAGGTTTGGGACCCTGTGCCTTACACAGACTGCTCAGGTGCCTTTGCTTATGTGACCAAAAAACGAACCAACCAAACAAACAAAAAACCAGCTTGTGGATTCCCCCATTTTATATAAAAAATACAAGTATCATTTGCTCAATGCAACAAAAGCATCAATCAAAATTTGCCGAAAGGTAATTTTCCACAATATTATCCACATTTTCCTCTGATGATTATTTTGCAATTAGAGGTGTATCTGAATATAAACAATGGTTTTAGTTTAAAAAATGCTTGGGAAGGGTCACCAGCTGCAGGGGAATTCTGTGCACAGCAGAGGGGCAATAATGCTGCCTACTGAGATAATTTGTAGCATTTTATAATATCTCACACTTCTACAGCACTTTTGGGTTACAAAAGCACTTTTTACACAATTACACTGTGAAACAGACAGGAAGAAGAGTAGTGTTCCTATCTGACAGAGAGGGAGGAACTGAATGGCCTGTGCTCCCATAGCTGGGGAATGTCCAGGATCTGAATTTAGGTCTTCTGATTCTAAGGCCAGGGCTCTTTTTAATATCTACAACAGTGAGCTGCTGGTCTTCCCAGCCCACTCCCCACACTTGGAGAATTCTCTGACTCCACATAGAGAAGTCTGGAAGATTTTTTCCCTTATTATTTTTAAGGGTATTTATATTGTCTACTAGGGCAGCTAGGTGTCACAGTGGAGAGAATGCCAGGCCTAAAATATATATATATATTTTTTGCTTTTTAGTGAGGCCATTGGGGTTAAGTGACTTGCCCAGGGTCACACAGCTAGTAAGTGTCAAGTGTCTGAGGCCACAGTTGAACTCAGGTCCTCCTGACTCCAAGGCCAGAGCTCTATCCACTGCACCACCTAGCTACCTCTCAGGGCTGAAGTCTTAAAGATTCACCTTCCTGGGTTCAAATCTGACCTGAGACATAGCTGTGTGAACCTGGGTAAGTCACAACCCTATTTGCCTCAGTTTCCTCATTTGTAAAACCAGTTCACAAACCACTCCAGCATCTTTGCTAAAAAAGCTCCAAATGGGATTGTGAAGAGTCAGACATGATTGAAACAAGTCAACAACAACAACAACAAAATATGGTCCACTAGAGTGAGGCTGCAATATTACACTTGGTCAATTAGTGGCATAATGTACCACTGCCCAAAAATGGTTTAGGCCCACCAAGGGTGGGAAAACTGTGGCCTTTGAGGCCACATGTGGCCTTCTAGGTCCTTGGGTGTGGCCTTTTGACAGAGTCCAAGTTTTACAGAACAAATCCTTTTATTAAGGGGATTTGTTCTGTGAAGTTAATGCCTTATATGATTCATTACAGAATTCTAAAAGTATGTAAAATGTATTGATTTTAAATGAGAGCTGCCCAGAATGTGCTACACAGGCATAATTATTATCCTGTTTTGTAAGCTGACCTTAAAAAGGAGAGGCTATCTCTCTGTTGAAGAGCTACAGGTAATAATGAACAAATGAATCCTTGAGAAAATTTCACTGGGGGGCAGCTAGGTGGCGCAGTGGATAGAGCACAGGCCCTGGATTCAGGAGGATGTGAGTTCAAATGTGACCTCAGACACATAACACTTACTAGTTGTGTGACCCTGGGCAAGTCACTTAACCCCATTGCCTAGTCAAAAAGAAAAAAAAAGAGAAAAAAGAAAAAAATTTCCCTGGAAAACCTGGGATTAGCCTGGTGTAGCTTACAGGGTACTGGACTTAGAGGAGACTTGGGTCTAATTTCTACCTCTATTAATTATAGGAAAGTCCCGAAGATGGCGGAGTAAAAGCAGTGACGTGCTTGAGCTCTCCCCCAAACCCCTCCAAATACCTATGAAAAATGGCTCTATGCAGTGAATAGAGCACTGGCCCTGAAATCAGGAGAATCTGAATTCAAATCCGGCCTCAGACCAACACTTGACACTTACTAGCTGTGTGACCCTGGGCAAGTCACTTAACCCCAACTGCCTAAAAACTAAAAAAAAAAAAAAAAAGGCTCTAAACAAATTCTAAAGCAGAAGAACCCACAAAAAGACAGAGTGAAACAAATTTCCAGCCAAAGACAGCCTGGATGGTTGATCAGAAAGGTATATCTTGCCGGGTGGGGAGAGGAGCACAGTGCGGGCGTGGGCGCACAGGCCGCAGAGACCCTGCGGCAGGCCTCAGAGGACTGAATCACGGGCAGCTGTGGCAGTTTCCAGACTTCTCAACCCATGAACACCAAAGACAACTTAGAAGGTCAGTGGGAAAAGTCTGTGACTGTAGTGGTGAGAGAGGAGAGCAGGATCCCAGCCCCATTCCTTGGGGCCTCAGCTGCTTCCTGAGCTTGCAGCCCACAGACTGAGGGGGAATTAAGTGGCTGATCAGAGGGGGATTGCAGGGATCTCTCTGCTGGTGCAGGATTCTCTTGCTTTGCCCGTGCTTGGATCTGGGTCACAGCTCTGGGTGGCGGTCCTGGGGCGAGGAGGAGTGCTGGTCTGGTGGAGCTTGTAGTGGCTGTGGAAAGGAAATCCTCCTCCCAGTTCCAAGACAGAAAAGAGTGCTCATAGACCAGAGCATAGGCCAGGAAAGGAGTAAACACCTCGCCCTTGATCATACCACCTTGGAAGAACTGAAAATTTATAGGTCCCTAGAAGTATCTCTGAAAACAGCTGCACAAAACCTCCAAAGCTTGGGACAGTATATTCTCCACACAGGAAACAGACTCCTACCTTAACAAAGAGTTTATAACTCAAGTAATTGGCTGGGATCATGAGCAAGCAGCACAAAAAAAGTCAGACCATAGAATCTTTCTTTGGTGACAAAGAAGATCAAAACATACAACCAGAAGAAGACAACAAAGCCAAAGCTCCTACATCCAAAGCCTCCAAGAAAAATATGAATCGGTCCCAGGGCATGGAAGAGCTCAAAAAGGATTTTGAGAAGCAAGTAAGAGAAGTAGAGGAAAAACTGAGAGTGATGCTAAAGGAGACCCCAAAAAATACTGAAGAAAAAAACACCTTAAAAAATAGCCTAACCCAAATGGCAAAAGAGGTCTAAAAAGCCAATGAGGAAAATGCCCTAAAAAGCAAAATTAGCCAAATGGAAAAGGAAGTCCAAAAGTTTACTGAAGAAAATACTTCCTTAAAAATTAGAATGGAGAAATTGGAAACTAGGGACAATTTGAGAAATCAAAGCACTGTAACACTAATCCAAAGGAATGAAAAAATAGAAGAGAATGTGAAATATCTCACTGGAAAAACAACTGACCTGGAAAATAGATCCAGGAGAGAGAACTTAAAAATTATTGGACTATTTGAAAGTCATAATAAAAAACAAAGAGCCTAGACATCATCTTTCAAGAAATTATCAAGGAAAACTGCCCTGATATTTTAGAACCAGAGAGCAAAATAGAAATTGAAAGAATCCACCCATCACCTCCTGAAAGAGATCCCCAAAGGAAAACTCCTAGGAATGTTGTAGCCAAATTCCAGAATTCCCAGGTCAAGGAGAAGATATTGCAAACAGTCAGAAGGAAACAATTCAAATACTGTGGAAACACAATCAGGATAACACAAGATTTAGCAGCCTCTACATTAAGGGTCCAGAGGGCATGGAGTATGATATTCTGGAGGGCAAAGGAGTTAGGACTTCAACCTAGAATCACCTACCCAGCAAAACTGAGTATAATCCTTCAGGGTAAAAAATGGTCATTGAATGAAATAGGGGACTTTCAAGCATTCCTGTGGAAAAGACCAGAGCTCAATATAAAATTTGACCTTCAAATACAAGACTCAAGTGAAATATGGAAGAAGTAAACAGGAAAGAGAAATCATAAGAGACTTATTAAGGTTGAACTGTTTACATTCCTGCAGGGAAAGATGATATTTGTAACTCATGAGTCCTTTGTCAGTATTAGGGCAGTGGGAGGGAAAAAAATTACATGTATGTATAGATAGATAGATAGATAGATAGATAGATAGAGGGCATGGGGTGAGTTGAAGACGAAGGAGTGATATCTGGAAAATATAATTAAGGGGTGAGAGAGGATTATACTGGGAGAAAGAGAAAGGGAGAAGTAGAATGAGGTAAAATATCTCACATGAAACAGACAAGAAAAGGCTTTTAGAGTGGAGGGGAAATGGGGGAAAGTGAGAGGGAATGAGTGAATATCATTCTCATAGGATTTGGCTTAAGAAGGGAATAACATACACAATGAGGTATGTAAATCTATCTTACCCTACAGGAAAATAATGGGGGAAGGGGACAAGAGAGCAGGGGGTTGATAGAGGGGAGGGCAGATTAGGGGAGGGGATAATCAGAAGCAAACACTTCTGAGCAGGGACAGGGTCAAAAGAGAGAGTAGAATAAATGGGGGGTAGGATAGGATGAAGGGCAATATACTTAGTTTTTCACAACAGGACTACTATGGAAGTGTTTTGCATGTCTACACATCTATAACCTGTACCGAGATGCTTGCCTTTTCAATGAGGGTGGGTGGGGAGGGAGGAAGGGAGAAAATTTCTAACCCAAAGCTTTAAAAACATGTTAAAAATAAAAATTAAAAAAGAAAAGAAAAGGAAAGTCTGTTAACTTCTCTGAATATCAGTTTCAACATCTGACATGGGGATAGTAATATTTGGAATAGATATCTCACAGGAATGTTGCAAAGTGCTACCTGTTACCACTATGTCACCAGTAGAGGCCATAGGGCATAGTGGAAAGAAGTCTGGACCTGGCCTTAGCAGACCCGAGTTCATAGTGTGTTTCTATACCTTACTATGTGAAATTGGGTAAGTCATCTCCCTTCAGTTTCTTCATCTATATAATACGGATAAAAATACATATACCATTTTTCTCACAGAGTGGGGTTGAGGAGAGTATTTTTTAAATATAAAGGCACCTGGGCAGCTAGGTGGTGTGGTAGATAGGGTGCTGGACCTGAAGTCAGGAAGACCTGAGTTCAAATCCTATTTCAGATACTTACTAGCTGTGTGACCCTAGGCAAGTCACTTAACCTGTCTCAGTTGCTTCATCTATAAAATGGGGATAATAATAGCAACTAATTCCTAGGGTTGTTGTGAGGGTAAAATGAGATAATATTTATAAAGCACTTAGGACAGTGCCTGGCAGTGCCCTATAAATGTGTAAGGTGTTGATTGTTCAGTCTGATTGATTTCAGTGTAGTGAGGACATTCTGCCTCAAAGTGCTCCTATGCTGGGCAGAAGACAGAGTCAGGCTAAAGATAACTGTGAATTTGAGCAAGTTATGTCACTTGTTTGGGGTTCATCTATAACATGGGGGTGAGACTACAGACATCTAGCCTTCCTTCCATTTCAGGAATTCTATGATTCTAAGGGCAAACTTTAATAATTCAATCCAACCACACGATAAACATTTATTAAGCACCTACCGTGTGCAAAGCCCTGTATTAAACACCTTGGAAGATAGTGACCCAGCCTTCATCACATTTTTATCGTTAATATTAATTCAAAGAATGTAGCTAGGTTTCTTTAAGGGAGCTTGGTTCAATGTATAATGTTCAATTTTCAATAACCATGTTTTCAATTATCCAAGGGATTTAAATTAATTTATATTTGGAAAATTGAGGCTCCACTCCCCATCTCCCTCTGACATGCAGAAGTAATAGAAAATGCTTTTTCCTTTTCCCAGAGAGGCTGTTAATGATCAAAACTGTTTATTATATGTTTTTATTGGCATTTCCCAATATCAGTAAGTTTTATCCAGGGATGAATTGTGCTCCTGTTATCATAGAGATCCTAAAGGCTGCCTGACACGTGCCAGCAGTCATAATCATGCCATTAGGTGGCTTTGCATAATTGTTTTCAGAGACTGCTCTGTGTGTGTGTGTGTGTGTGTGTGTGTGTGTGTGTGTGTGTGTGTGTGTGTAGTAATATATGGGGGAGATGTTTGGATATTTGTAGGAAAGTGGAGTGAAGCTAGAGGGACAGTGAATCTAGGGTTTACCACCATTTTATTTATTTATTTAATTTTTATTTATATTATATATTTTATTTTATTTTTTTGGCAAGGCAATTGGGGTTAAGTGACTTGCCCAGAGACACAGCTAGTGAGTGTTATGTGTCTGAGCTGAATTTGAACTCAGGTCCTCCTGACTCCAGGGCCAATGCTCTAGCCACTGCGCCACCTAGCTGCCCCTATCACCACCTATCACCACATTTTAAAAAAAATCAGTAAAACATTTATTTTTTTTTTTTAAAAATGGACATATATCCTAAAGTGGCTAATCACTAGTCAAGTAAGAGTTGTTCACTATTTAGGCTGGAATATTTTTTTTACCCCTTCTGAGGACTTTAGGCATTAAATGCATTGGGTATTTTTAATCACTCTGTCTCTAGCTGAATAAGTTGAAACAAATAATATATTACTGAAAGATCCCAAATAATCCAATGGAAGAAATGAAACCAGAACCTTAGAGCCCTGTGCCATGTTCTTTTTTGTCCCTTTGAATTTAATCTGCCAGCCAACTGACACACACATTCTTCCTTAGCTGAACATTAGACCAATTAAAATGGAAATGGACCACTTACAATTACTTTGACATAGTTAGCAGGAAATATGCCGATCTGGTTTCTACATTTTCCTCGGTACCAATCACTATCTATTTTTTCCAGAAGATAAACAGTCTCTCCCGAAGTGAGGTTCAAGTCATCAGCTTGCTCTGTAAAAGAAATTTACAATTATGGGCAGCAAATTATCCCAGCTGCAAACGCAATTAATAAAAAGACAGCTACCACAGAGCAACATTTAATTTTGTTCATTTGGGTTGCATATTGTGTTGATTTGGTGAACCAACTCAACTTCACAGCCAATTAAGTTTTTTTTTCCAAAAAATAAAAACAAAACTCAGTACTTTTTCAGTATATCTTAAAAATAAGGTCCCCCTCCAAGATAAATTCAGATAGGTTCATAATGTACTGATACTTGGGATAAGGTGAAATATCATCCAAGTCTATTTATTATTCCATGCTTGTACTTTCCACCCATAGTATTGAAATATATAAACAGTAATTTCATTGTGGAAGAAGTCCAATGAGTGAGAACACCTTCCACCAATGCAGATAACAAATTACCTAAATCCATCTATGACTTAATAGATTATTAATCCCTAGGAAGTTGCCCAAGGCAGACAGAGGTGTCCAGAGTCACCTAGCTAATAAGTCTCAGGGGTAGCTTTTAAATCCAGGTACTCCTGACTCCCCCTAATCACTGTCTCTAGAACACTCCAATGGGTCTATGGTCTCACTGATGTGGGTATTTCCTGCAAAGTGCAGCTCATCTATACCTATACTTATTACTCTTGTCCATTTCCTCCTAGAAACCTACCACAAGGGGTCCACCTAATGTACAGAAGCCCTCCTTAAATTCTCACATTGTAGGGACTATTGGTTATTTCTCCTTCCCTATGTGACCAGTCCCCTTTGTTTTGTTTCATATGTGCACAAAACTTCATAATCAAACACTGACTTTTCCTGTTTTACTCTTGTCCATTTCCTCCTAGAAACCTACCACAAGGGGTCCACCTAATGTACAGAAGCCCTCCTTAAATTCTCACATTGTAGGGACTATTGGTTATTTCTCCTTCCCTATGTGACCAGTCCCCTTTTTTTGTTTTTTTCCTGATCATATACTTTTAATGTGAAAATAATAAATATAATGGCTAACATTTAATTAATGCTTACTATGTGCCAGGCACTGTGCTAAATGCTTAATATTATTGTCTCATTTGATCTTCACAAAATCTTGGGAGGTAGGTGCTAATATTATCCCCATTTTATAGATAAGGAAACTGAGGCAAATGGAGGTTAAGCAACTTGCCCAGGATCACACAGCTAGCAAGTGTTGGAGGCTACATTTGAATTCAGGTCTTCCTGACTCCAGGCAAATAGTACTATTGAAAAATTAAAAGCATTAAAACTGTCAATCATCCATTTACTTTTTAAAACATTTAGTTGGTAAATATTAATCTGAAATAATTAAAGAAATCAGATTAACATAACTTTTCAACAAGCAGATTTAAGCCATACTAAAACAAAGCCTAGTTTCTACAAAGAAGATAATCGGGATGCAGATAATCAGGAGCTTATTGTATTTGTAAATTACAATGTGGCAGCATTAGATTTTTAAAGCACTGAAACAAAATTTCCAAAAACTTCCTTTAAAATCCATTGGACTTTGATCTTATAGAGGAATCTGAAGGGATATATCTGTATAAATCCTCAACTTTCTTAGCCATCAGGATTCCATTTATAAATCAGAAAGCATAATTTTGCAAGGCTTTGCACTTTTGATTTAATTGTATAGGAAACTCCTTCAAATAGTGTGTATCAGCAACTGTTTCGCAACTTACAGTTTTAGTGAGTTGTCTGACTTATTGAGAGTTTAAGTGACTTGCCCAGGGTCATAGATCCCTCTTTGTCAGAGGTGGAACATGAACCCTTGACTCTGAGGTTGGCTCCCTATCCATCATGTCACATGCCTCTCTAACACCACCACCACTACCTGACATTTATACAGTGCTTTAAGGTTTGTAAAATACTTTCCATTCATCTCATTTGAGCCTTACAACAATCCTGGGTGGCAAATACCACACATATTATGCTATTCCCTTTTGCAGTTGAAGGAACAGGCTCAGAGAGGTGTAAGGTGGCAGCCAGAGTGTGAGAACATGACCTTTGACTCCACAACTAACATAAGCTACCCTAAGTAAATGTAAACAGTGAAAGAAGCTCCAACAATCTCATGGGAAAACTTGACCGTGATCCCGGGCCATCCCTGGCACTTTGCCTTCTTTGTTCTGTTTCTATATAACATGTGACCTGGCCTAAGGGGGGTGCAGGGATCCACCATATGTTGTTCTGTTGTTGCCCAGGACTGGCCTCCCAGTCCCCAACCCCCCAGCCCCCATTTAATAAACCCTAACAAATCTACACATATAACCCATACTGCCGTGGACTGCCTAAATTTCTTTAGTATCTCAGTATCCCCTAGGAGGGTCTGCCACCCTATAATGGCCAAAATCAGTACAGATCTTGCATCTTTACAGAGGTCAATCAATCATTCAATTAAGCAACCATCACTTATTAAGCATTGACTATGTGCCAGGTGCTGTGCTTGGTGGTGGAGGTGATACAAAGACCCAAGTGGAACAGTCTCTGTTCTCGAAGAACTCAATTTCTGTTGGGTGAAACATATGTGCACATATAAATAAACACAAAATATATAACAAGTACACGTGCAGTAATATAGGATTGGGGGCTGGGAGTGGGGGACTCAATCCTAGGGGAAATCAAAAAAGGCCATGACAGAAGCTAGAGATTTGAAGAGGCAGAGGTGAGGAGGAAGAGCATTCCATGACTGGGGGACAGCCTGGCCAAAGACACGGAGACAGAGAATAGGAAATGTATGTGGAGCAAAAAGTAGACCACTTTTACTGGAACAGAGAGTAGGTAAAGGGTGGTAGTAATATATAATAACCCTGGAAAGGTAGCTTAAAGTCAGATTGTGAAGGGATTTAAATAGTTAAGTGACTTGCCCATGGTCACGTTGCTAGAAAGTTTTATGAGACAAAATTTGAACCCAGGTCAATACAATACTTTTGAGTACAATTTTGTTACAATTAGTAACTGGTGTCCCACCGGCAGATGGCATTCATTGTTTACAAAAACTTAAGTGTCCCCTTTGGGGGACAGTTTGAATGTAATTCTGCTCAGAGGAAAAGGGGATGGATTGGTGACCTCTCAGGGTCCCTTCCAGGCCCAGAGTTCCATATAGTAATTGAAAGTAGGTAAAAATGAATCTTCCTTGATTTACAACCAAAGAGGTGAATAGTTTGAATAATAAATGTCTTGGACCACAGTTTTTCATCATAGTTTGACCTCTTGGGTCTCCTCCAGGTCTAGAGTTCTACATGTTCAGAGAAAGTAGGTCAAGATGAATATTCCTTTATCTATAACCAAGAGGCTAATAGTTTAAAAACACGTGTTCTGGAACATAGTTGTTTTTTTTTTATCACAGTTTCCATACTTTAGGGATTTGTGATTCTGTCAGTGTGAAGAACTACAAGCGTGGGAATGCCCCCCCCCCCACCAAGGCAGACCACAACCCAGCTATGACTCAACTTCTAAGTCCAAGTGAATCGAGAGAGCTCAAGTGACCTGTCCTGGATCACACAGCAAGTAAGAGTCAGAAGTAAGATTTGAACCCACATCTTCCCAATTCCAAGCCTAGCACTCTATCCACTCAACCACAGTGCCTCTGACTTCTGTCCTTACCTGCTGGAAAATCGTGTAGCACAAGTGCATGAGGGACACTGCTGTCGACAGACTTCAGTACACTGGTTGAATCCTTGCAAGGGAAAAAACAATGGAATCATAAATGAAGTTAGCATTTATTATTTAGTTTGAGACCTTTTTCTTTTCCTTGCTAGAATTGTACTGACACACATATTATCAGTACATAATATAAGCCACACAGCTGAGTTAAGCAAGGGAATCTTATCAGGTTAGGAATGTCATTGCCAAAGGGAGGGTAAACTAACTCTCACTGATTAGCACATTCACTTTTGGGAATTTTATCTGAGAAAGAAAAAAGGGAATAAGAGATATCAGAAAGATAGAGCAAGAGAAAGGGGAAGGAGGGAAGAAGAGAAGAAGGGATAGAGAGAGAGCGAGAGTGCAAGATCACTTAATATCATCTTCTGCAGTCCTTTATTCCTTTCCACAATAGTGCATCTGTCTCTTTTTCTATTTCAAGCTTGTAAGCAGGTCTTAGATTGGTAATGATCTTGCAGGCTTCAGACCTGGTACATCTATTTGGTAGGAATAGTGAGAATCCCTGAGAATTCCACTCTTGACTTTTATGATGAGGAAAGAAGTCCATGATTTGCTACAAACTCACAACAGGCATAACCATCAATTCCAGTTAATTTGCTATGGGCTAATTCAATACTGTTTCTGATTAGCAGCAAATGCTGTGCCCCAGCTGTCTGGCTTGGGCTTTCCTATATAATTGGGATGGTTAAGTCAATGCCAAGGCTTATGTGGGAGAAGGAAATAGGGTACCCAAGGTGCTTTCAGGAACTAATTGGTTGATTCCAAGCAAGTGGATTGAGAGAAACCAAAACTCTCACTGCTTATTAGTAGGAAAAAAGAGTTGTAGTTGGAAATGAAATATATTTTTCTTTAGACTACTGACAATTGTCTATTATAACCATCAAAAAAATGTATTAAAGTCTTCTGTCAAGAGTGAAACAATAGCAAAACTGTGAATTAAGTGACATTGAATCAAAGGATTTAGAACTGGAAGAAACATTAGAAATAATCTAGTTCCATTCCCACCTCCACTTTATTGGGTGAAGAGGTTAAAGGCCAGAGAGGGGAAACTACTTATTCAAGGTCACATAGCCAATAATTAGAGCTGGGATTCAAACTGAGGTCCTCTACCTCCAAATTCAGGACATTTTCTAGTGTATCACATGACCTTTCATTGATTTTTGGTATTCCCCCAGTGCCCTTCCCATGCCCTGCTTCCTGCTTACAGGGCAGCCTATCCTCCTTCTACCCACCACGGTGAAAGCTATAGCCTTCATATGCTCTCTCATGATGAAGTAGCTTCATTTGGATCTGCCCTTCTAGGGAACCTGTCACACTCGAAACTTTTTGTTCCTCCTTTACCTCCCAAGAAAATACAACTTACATATCTTTTGTCTGTGATAAATGAAAATCCTGAGAGTTTCTGGGTAATTAATAATCAGTTTATTAATTAGGCTAGCTAATTACCAATAAACTGATGGTCAGTGATTTCTCTCCATAACCAAAGACACCTAAAGTACACATGTCTTAAAATATTTTTTTCTTGAAAGGGAATGTCCTTGACAGGAGAAATCAACCCTGATTGGTGAACAATTAATGAGTGGAGGGGAAGTGGGCTCAAAGTCTTCAGCTCCTCCTGCTGAGAACGTGGATTGATCACGGAGGAAGGTCTCCTAGTTGAGTGGGGTCCCACCCAAAATGGAGGAGCATATTTCTGGTGGATTTGGGCAATCTCATGTATCAACCTTGTCCTTCAGAGCTGACTGACCTATAGGGGCTGGTCCCTGAATGAGTAAACGAAGATAAAAAGCCTTAATCCTAATTTAATAATTTATTATTAATATAATAGAAAAATAATTTCCAGCATGTCTTACTCAGGGTCTTATTGGGTCAATGGTTAGTGAACTTGGGATACTAAAGATTCAAGCTAATGTGTTTGTGACTAACAGTGACTTTAAAAAGTTACCATTCTAATGAGTTATATTCCCATTTTGGTGGGAACTTTCAGTGCCTAATGAAAAGGAGAGGAGTGTGAGAATTTAAGGTAGCAAGGTATAATATGAGTATTTTAGGGCAGGAACTCTTTTAATACCCTTAAAAATCATACCATATAGTGGTCCTACTCTGCCTGCACATACAGCTGATCCTGCTAATGCTAGCCAGCTCTGTCTTTGATGGAGAAGAGCAGGACAGGGATGTAGGTAGGGAGTGATATTTCCCCAAGGGACACAGATTCCTGGTACTCTTAAAAAAAAAAGCCAGAACACTGAAAAAAATCTTTCTAAAATGGCTCTATCTGCTAACTGCCATTCTGGTATGGTGATGCCTCACTTATCTGGGGATCATACTCAATGAACCTCAACCATCTGGAACACAGTTAAGAACCCAGAGTAGTAGACTATGAATGCTACTGAGACCCTCACCTAGGCTTACTGACTTGGAATTATGTGTAAAAATAAAGATACTGGGCAATCCTTAACTATTCCTGGGTTACAAGAAAGCAGCAGATTAAAAATTTTGGAGTGGGGCTATAGGATACTGCCACCAGTAAGATGTGACATTTAAGGGAGGGAGGAAGTAGGAAGACTATCAGGAGAAAGGAAGCGAGGCACAGTGGAAAGCCCCACTAGATTTGGAGTTAGAGGATCTGGGTTCCAATCTTCACTTTGCCACTTACTACCTGTATGACCCTGGGCAAGTCAAGTTCCATCCCTGTGCCTCATTTTCCTCATCTGTAAAATGAGGTGCTTAAATTACATGATTTCTAAGGTCTCCTGTAGCTCTAAATCTGATGAGACAAAAGAAAAACAGAGCTCTGAAGTCTTGGGCAACCAGTGCTACAAAAACCCCCAAATAGTGTAGGCACTTATATCAGGAAAGCTTCCATCATTTGGAAAATCCCTTAATGCAGAAGACTGAATTGCCCAAGGATGCTGGATGAGTGGAGTTACTGTGGACCATCACCACCATTTTTGTAGTAATCTCTGGACACCACCACAGCTTAAGAAGTAATTGTGTCTACAGTGCAAGACAAGTCAGGCAAAATTGAAGTTCAATAAAATTTGGAAGGTTGTTAAAAAAAATCCTCCATTTCTCTTTTGATATTTCTAGCTCATTTTTTTTTCTCATAAAATAGAGCTTTTGGCAGTATCATTTCAACTGTTATACTCATTTGTGCTCTGAGAGCAGAACAACAGATGTTATGACCAAATGATTGTATGTCAAAACACAAAAGTGACTGGACCAAAGATAAATTTCCTCTATTTTCAATGAATTTCGGAGCTTTTTGTCTTCCAACAGTAATTTGCTTCAAAACTACACTTTGTTTTCAAGATTCATTCCTCTGAAGAAATCTATTCAATAACCATTTATTAAGTACCTAATATGTGCCCAGCATTGGGACTACATTAACACAGAGGAGACCATAAAGCTAGAATGAAAGGCAACCACTTTTGCCTGTACTTGCTTTACTGGTGCTGTTTTGATTTTTTTTTTTTAAGATGTATGTTATTTTTTTCCCCCTCGAGTGAGGGTCCAGATGTATTACAGCGTTAGTATACGAGCTCCCAGCATGGAAATTCCCTCCATCAGTTCAGATCAGTGACTTCTTTGTAACCTCTGATCATAGGATCCTGGATTTGGGGCAATAAGGAACCTCAGAAGCCATCCAAATCCAACTCCTTCATTATGTTGTTGAGATGTTTTCAGTTGTGAACAACTCTTTGTGACCCCATTTGGGGCTTTCTTGGCAAAGATACTTGAGTCATTTGCCATTGCCTCTTCCAGCTCATTTTATAGTTGAGGAAACTGAGGCAAACAGAGTTAAATGATTTGCCCAGGGTCACACAGCTAGGAAGTGTCTGAGGCTGGATTTGAACTCAAGTCCTCCTGACTCCAGAGCCAGTGTTTTATCCGCTATACCACCTAGTTGGCCCCAAAAAGTATTTTGTGAAAATCCCTATAACAAGCAAGGTACTGTGCTAGGTACTGGGGTACAAAGACAAGACTGACCAGTTCCTGCCCTCAAGCAGCTTCTATGATAGCCGACCTAGGGAAACATGCCAGCCAGCATTAAACAGCCAAAGCGCTGCTTTTCAGTTTCCTCTGAATGCTTCCCATATTCCAAGGGGACTCAGCATTCAAACCTCTGTGAAATAATACATGTTGCAATATCTTAGCACTGTTTTCAGAATAAAAAGAAATTAGACATTACTGCTTTCAGATGAGACTACTTTGTCACTAACCATGTCCCCTGTAATTGAAACCTTTAGTTTAGATTTGCTTGGATCCTCTGTCTCAGTTGGAACAGATATTTATTTAATTAGCAAGCTTATGAAACAGCTTCTTAACTAGACATTAAGCAGATATCTCAAGGACATTTGTGTTGCTTACAAATGGCCTTCATTAACATGATGCTACTGTCTGGGGTTCCCTGATTTGTCAGGTACCAACCAGGATTGGCTGCTTTAGGGGTGGGACTCAGTTACATTATTTCTGGAGCTAAAATCACTGCGATTATGGCCATTCAAAGTTTTAATCTCTGAAGGGAAGAAGGTGAATTTGGCTCTTTTCATCATTATCCTGTTTTGACTGCATCAAATTGCTGTCATTTTGTTAAGTAAATTTGCATTATTTCGAAAAAGCAATTTTTACAATTGCAAATTAATGACTTGATTTTGGGGTTGCTGTAAGTCACTGAAATATGAAATATGTCTAGCATAAACCACAGTCAAACTATGCAACCAAGGTGATGAGGATGGCTACTGCAAGCCTCCTGTAAGTGATTTACTCTTAAAATGGAATAAAATACTACTATAATTTATTCTTCTGTTATATAAATGGGCTAATAAAAATGGAAGCTAAGACATAATTAAGAGTTCTGTCAAATGTAACTGCCACACGTAATGTACGGTGTTGTACCAAATTAATTTCTTACTTTTGATCTGCTTTTAAGATGCTCATGAAGTGGGGTGATAATCTTTATCTGTGACAGGTGAACTCTGCCCATTTCTTCTCCCTTTTGGCATTGCAAGTAACTGTCTTCAGTTTGATTCAGCAGCACCAGCACGTCTCCACGCTGTAAGGTATAACATACTCTCAGATGCAATTATTAGTGAATAAAACATTATTACTCCCCTCTCTCCCAAGTTTTAATCTTCAGAGCCTAAAGCATAACATGTAAGAGCTGTGATAGGAGCCAGTGAATTTTTGACATTAACTGGTAAAAGGTAAGAACATCACTGTACCTTACAAGAGAGCTCTCCAGGGTTTTGGGAGACAGTGTCTTCATTGGCAACTCCATGAGGCAGAGGCAGCTTAAACAGAAGCCAATAAAAAGATTACTCATGATCAAATAAGCTCCATATAAACTGCAGAACCTTTTGGGATTCATTGTGTATGCTCAAAATATAGCTTCCTCTAGATGAATTCTCTCTTTAGCTTCCTTAGTTAGAACATTGAACACTTGGCTTTTTTGGTTATGATTCAAGTGGGGTACATTGCCACTCTATGAGTATCAGATCCTCTGCCTAGAGCTGACCAGGACCTCCGATAGAATGAGTCACTGAATAAACAGCAAGACAAATGTCCTTCTAATTAGCCTGATGGAGTCGTCATGGATATGGTGATACCTATGGAACCCTCAAAGAGGCCAGATGATGTGGTCCTCTCATCTCTTGGGTGTCTCACCACAAACATGGACTATGTCTTTTTCATCTTTACATCCTCTTCAGTGCCTAGCACAGGGTTAAGCATATAGGAGGTACTTAACATACGTTTGTTTTTTTCCTATGGATATGGAACTAACATGGAAAGCTCTTAAAGGTATGAGGATGATTTCCCAGTTCTGCAAGGACTGACTCTGGATATATGGTGAAAAGTCTTCAATAACCAGTCAAATGTAAGCTCCTTAAAGGAAGGAAACAGTTTTAATTTTTTGTCTTCGCATTTCCCATCCTGGCAAGATGTCTTTGTACATAGAAAGTACTTAATAAATGTTTATTGAAATTAATTGACTGGAACTGGAGAATTTCATGTACAGAGTGGAACTAATCGAGTACATTGGGAATTCTGAGAATAAAAAATTCAATCTAAACTCAAGACACTTTCAGAATGGCTCTCCCCACCCCCAAAGCTATCCAGGGTTCTGGACTGCTTTTACTTGAAGCGCTCTCTGATACCATGGACCCTCTGTCTCTCTAGACCTACTGCCTCAAGCCATGTTCCCTCAATTCTGACTCTTCCTAATGCTAAACACCTGTTGTGATTCATGCTCCTGCCTGTCCTCTATTACTACCTGTGCTCTCCACCTGCCCTGATCTCTGACTAGCCTGATTTTAAATGCTCCCTCTGCCAACTCCTTGCTCTGGCCATCGTCTGGCTGAATAGTCCAGTTCCTTGGTCTGGTTCCCAATAATATGTTTAAATTGTGTGGCAAATAGTAAATTAGAGAACCTCAGATGTAACTTGTTGGAATCTCAGGAAGAGATTCTTAGGAACAGACAAGCTAATTTTAAACTAGAGGAAACCCGGAAAGAAACCCAGGAAGCTAGCACAATAAGTACAGAAGACATGGGTGTGGCATGGTCATAATTCTGGGCCTGGTGAAGTGATAACCAAACACATAGTTATTTTCTGTATAGGTAAAAAAACTGGGTCAGTTTTCCATCATCAAGATCCCCTTATTTGGCCTAGAATTCTGCTTAGGTTCCTGGGTAAAATATCTCCATAACTGTTAATGAATAGTGTAATGAAACATATTACTGTAAAGATAACACCATTCTGCACTCATACATTTCTCTTAATTGTCCAAAATACAGAATTAACATTATAAGTGAATTCTTCTTTCTCTATTTTGGTAAATGAGTATGGTAACCGTAACAGTTTATATTTTTCTGAGACTCTCCTGATTTCAAGAAAATAAAGTATCCTTTTGTCAAACCTTTGCAAAAACAATCTCCTTTATCAGATAATGCTCCATTTTTGGTTCTGGAAATACAGTCAATTTATTTATCACCCACGCCTGATAATGATGGTTCCTTTGAATAAGAAAAGGTTCTTCCAGCTTAGATCAAGTGACAAAGGCTAAAAAAAGTAGGAACCTTGTGACAAGTAAGAAGCATTATTTTCACTGAAACAAAAACAAAAAACTTACCTATGTAAAAAATCATGCACTGGTAAGAGCAACGATTAAATCTATTACCAGTTTTCAACAGTATGATAGAATGGAAAGAAAGCTAGTTTAGAATAGAAAATCTCTTTTCAAGAACAGATTTTTGACTGAGCAACCTTGGATAAATTACTTAACCTCAATGAACCTAAGTTTCCACATCTATTAAAAAGAAATAAAAACACCCGCATCCTCCTTAAGTCCCCCTTGCAGTGTGGAAGTGATCCTGGGTCTTGAAGCTTATGCCAGAGGAACAAATCCTCAGCTGGACAGTTCCTACCAAGCTGAAAAGTTTAGAATGAATTGTGTGTCTGTAGTCATGGGACCAGACTAGCTAAATTTGGAAAGAACTACAATTGATTGAATTGTCTGGCCCATAACGGGCAGCTAGGTGGTGAAGTGGGTAGAGCATTGGGCCTAGAGCAGGAAGACTCATCTTCCTGAGTCCAAATCTGGCCTCAGACACTTCCTAGCTGTGTTGTGACTCTAGGCAAGTCACTTAACCCTGTCTACCTCAATTCCTCATCTATAAAATGAGCTGGAGAAGGAAATGGCAAACCACTCCAGTATCTCTGACAAGAAAACCCCAAATGGGGTCAGGAAGAGTCAGACATGACTGAAAATAATTGAACAACAACAACCACCCATGAACACTGTCTAGCAAGGAAGGGAGGGAGTGCCAACCTGAGGAAATTGCTGCTCCTTAAAATACTGAGAAACACTAACCATATAATGTTGTAAGAAAAAATATTTTAAACTTTATAGTGATATGTATGTATATCACATCATTATCACTAGCCCTCAAAATAAAATTTCTGCTCACTTTACTAAGAGGAAAAAATTCCCACCAAGAGGCTGGAAGTGACAATTGCCAAATTTAATGGTAAAGATTTACAACCAAAAACACAGTTGTCTGTTAATGCTTTTATCAATGGTCATATGGCTACTGCGGAAGTAAAAACAATGACACCATTCATGAAGCTGATCTTTATCCCAGACTAATCCAGTGCAACCCATTCTGAGAAGGGAAGAAATAGAGCCTAGAACAGTGTTTCTCAAAGTGCATTCTTTGGATCACTGGGCATCCCTGAGATCCTTTGGAAGATCCTTAAGGTCAAAACTATTTTCATAATAATAGTAAGATGTTATTTGACTAAAATACTCCTGTCTTTTCTAACCACGTATCTATGTGAAGCTGGATTTTCTTCACATACTTCAACCAAAAGCTTCATATATTTCAACAGATTGAATACAGAAGCAGATATCAGTTCAGCTGTCTTCTATTAAGCGAGACTTTAAAAAGATTTGCAAAAATATGTAAAAACAATGTCACTCTTCTTGGCGGAGAAATAAAGTTATTTTTCATAAAATTGTTAAAGTATAATGAGTTTATTATTGTTACATTAAAATGAATTAATATATTAAATTGTATCAGTTTAATTTGTAATGCAGTAAATAGCAATAGTTACAATCCACATAAACAAAAACTGTTTGGGGTCTTCACTAATATTCAAGAGTGTAAAAGAGGTCCAGAGACTAAAAAGTTTAAGAATTGCTGGGCTAAAACAATTTCGTCCTCTCCACAACCTGACTCGTTCCTCCCCCCTTTCCTGTCTTCTAATACTTCATTCACTTTTACTCACGCTAGGATACCACTCTGATAGACTACATTTATCCCTTCTGTACTGTAACTTTCTCTACTGCAGTTTCAATATATTGTGGGTCATAAGAAATTAAATGGGAATTTTTGGGGGGTTTTGTGGAAGCCCCAGATGACATGTGAAGGCCAGCAGACCACACAGAAAAAGTCTAGAAATTCAGAAATGCATAAAGTATATGTACAGTGTTGTATAACAACAATATATTTTATCTTTTAATGCTATAAATATACATGATTTCTTTTTAAAGTTAAAATAAGTAAAAAGTTAAAGTTTGCAAAAAGAATGCAAAAGCCAGCAGATGGCACACAATTTTATGCAGATTTTCCAGATCATGGCGTACCAGTAAGGAACGGATAACTGTATTTGTTTCTCACACAAACACCAATTCACTTATCCATGTCTTTGCATTTGATGTCATGGATGCCTGAAATATGCTCCCTCCTCAACTTCCTCTCTTAGTTTTCCTGGCTTCCTTCAAAACTTGGCTCAAATGTCTCTTGATGCAGGAGGCCTTTTCCAGGCTCCGAGATTCTCCTCTATTTAGCTTTTAAACCCCTTCACAACTTGGCATCCACTTACATTTCTAGCCCCCTTAGATGTGAATGCTTTCTCTCCTTACCTGTAAGTTCCCTCTCTTCCTTTAAGATGTAAGGCAGCTCAATCACAACATTCTGTATGACATCTTTCCTGATTACCCCCAACTGCTAGTGCCCTTCCTACCAACCTATCTTGTATTTAACTACTTTGAATTTATTTGTATTTTTCACTTTTTATTTGTGCTATACATATATATCTATATGTTTAACTTTTTGACTCTCCCATTAGAAACTAAATTTCTTGTGAATAGAAATTGTTTCATTCTTAGTATACAAATCTCTCCAGCAGCTAGCTGGAATATACCGGGCACTTAAAAATATTAGGCTAATTTATTGATCAATATCTTTTATGTATCTAGTTATTTTCATGTTTGTTTCCCTTTCTGAATGTAAGCTTCTTGAGGGCAAAGATGATTTTTGCTTTTCTTCATATCTTTATGCACAGCATAAAATAAGTGTTTGACTGACAGTGAAACTGAGACAAAGTTTTAAGCTTATTAACAGGAACAAAAACTCAGATTCTAAAATATGTTAAATGATGAAAACACCAAAACAAAATAGACCATTAATGTTAGACTTTTGGAGGGGTAGAAAAAAAGGGAGCACAAGATCATTCCTCTTTCTTCTTAATGAGAAAATGCTTTCAACTGAGTCAGCTTAATTTCTTTTTTTAAAGTTGTCAATTTTATTTCAGAATTTACTTAGGGGAATCACAAATAACAGTTAACCATAGTCCTGTATTACTATGGTTTTAGGATCATAGATTTAGAAGTAGAATGGGATGTTAGAGACCTCCTACCTTCTGGCTCGACCTTCTCACTTTACAGATGAAGAAACTTAGGCCCAGAGAGTTTATGTGACTGGCCCAAGGTCACACATATGACGGAGGCAGGATACTTCCATGATCTGCTGGGTCAGATTCCTCATTGTTTCTGTCTGATCATAAGTAATGGCAGTTTGTGGTCACCCACTCCTAAGATTTCCTCCTTTACCTTTCTAATAAGAGCTAAACCCTGATTTAAATAATGTCATGCGCTTCACCTACGAGAACACAAGAGCAATTCTCTAATTGCTCAGCCTATTTTCCTAAGAAATACTGTACCCTGCATTTGTTTCTGAGAAAACTCTTTAACTAAGTGATTTCCGATCTAAAGTAAGAGATAAGAGTAGTTTACCATGTATTTCCTGTAGAGGGGGTGGCCTGGTTTGGGTCGAGGAGGCAACACTGGTTCTTGTTTCAGTAAGATCTGGCTCTTGGCCCGTTTGAGACCCCTTGTTAAGGCACTTTGTTTGTTCTGGAGATCCACATCTGATGAAGAGTGACAAAAAACTTGTTTCTGAGATGACGCCTTAGATCCAGAGAGTTTGGGTGGAGGTGGCCTCCCGGGGGCCCCCTTTGGTGGAGGAGGTCGAGCTGGGATGACTTTTCCATCTACGGGTCTGAACATCAATGTCAAAATTAAGAATCAGCTTTTGTCCTCTATTAGGTTTTTGAACTTTTTTTTCACAAGGCACACATATATCCACAAAGTCAGTGCACATGAGACATTCTCAAACACGCAGGATATGCAACTTTTATGCAAACAAAGGCAGCACTAAACATTACTGTATTAGAGAAATGCCATGATGTTCCAGCTTCCTCTTATCTGGCACTAGAGATTCATTAGTTCAAGACAAACTAGCATTTACTATCATGAGCTCTCCAAGGCCTCATTTGCTCTTAAACACAGTGAGCCTATTTCAGGAAACTAAGCATTTTCTCCCAAAGTCCAAGATGGAAAATCTATAATAAGATATAAGGCATCTGTGCTCGAGTTCAGAATAAGTGTTTTGTTTTTTACAGTGTAAGAGTGTCATTAAATCCCTAATTTAGATTAATTAAAAACAAGACGGTTCTAGAAACCGAACGTGGATGATCCTATTAGTATGAAAGGCTTTCCTTGACTCTTTCAATAGAAATGAGATCTTGCATAATCACTTTTTTATTATTGTGGCATTTACTATTTAAACATTTTTGATACCATGGATTATCTTTAATAGGCTTATTTTCCATTCAACCCTCCTGAGACATTGTTGGAAAGATGATCAGTGAGAAGGTCTCCCATTATAACTACTCAAGAGCTCGTTTGTCCTTTATTTCAGTGAAGAAATTCCAAGACTCAAATTGCAGAAAGAAATGAGTTTCCAAATAACTCTATAATAAGATTGGAGACCAAAGCTCACTGATTAAGAGACATTTATCAATTTTTGAGCTGAACTGGCCTTTGATGATCCAACTATTTTGGCAAATAATTTGGAACTCTATTTCCAAAGTCATTAAACTGTCTATACTCTTTAACCCAGCAGTACTACTGCTAGTAATCACATACTCTAAAGAGATCAAAGATGGAGTGAAGGGGCCGATATGTGCAAAAAATATTGACAACAGTGCTTTTTGTTGTAGCAAAGGACTAGAAATAAAGTGACTATTCATCTACGGGTCTCCATTGAGGAAACAAATTGTGTGGTATATGGAATAATATTATGCTGTAAGAAATAATGAATATGAAGGATTTGTATATACTTGAGAACATTTGGATGAATTGACATTGACAGAAATGAGGAGAACCAGGAGAAAAATTTGCAGGATGAACATAATAATGTAAAGAAAAATAAATGTGAAAGATTTATGAACTCTTATCAATTTAATGTCAGAAGAATGATGATGAAGCATGCTTCCTCTGCCTCTTGGCAAAGAGGTGGTGAACTAGAGGTGCAGAGACACATGGTTTTTAGTCATGATCAATGTATTGGTCTTTTTTGCTTGAGTATGTTTATTTGATATAAGGAAGAACTTGGTTGGGGGAGAGGAGGTTTAAGCTAGTGGGTAGTTCTAGAGATGCAAAAAAAGAAAATTAGTAACACATTAAAAATAGAAAAAAGCACAAAGATGTTCAGAAAGGTTCTTAAATTAGGCGATTTTGTTACTACCTTGTTCAATTTAATAGACTTAAAAAAAACTAACTGTACATAACAAGAGTTCCTGGTTTCATATGCAATCTTTTTGGTTCTCCTTTGCATACTGAACTATTTAGATTATTGGTAATTATTAAGTTCCTAATAAAAAGTAATTTTATTTTAAAAAAGAAGCAGCCATTGGGTAAGTACCCATTGGGTTCCTGAACTTACCTTGGGGGCAGCACTGGTCCTTTGGAAGAACTTCCTGTTTGAACGGAGGGCTCAGAATCCTACAAGTAATGGAGAATGCGTTTTAGGCATACATTATCACTGCTCGGGCATTTCTTAATTTAGAACATTAACTTCCATGAAGAGAAGATTTCTGCTTAAAACCTTTAGGGTGGATCATAAAAGTAAACACAGCTGAGGTTTTAAAGTCTTCAACCGTATAGAAAGGGTTAAAATCATTACTCACTGGACCCATTTCCACTTAAATCACCTCTACTGCATTGGCTATGCTCCATGCCTAGAAATACTCTCTCTCCTCACCTCTGCCTTTTGGAGTCTCTGATTTCCTATTAAACTCAGTTCACGCACTACCTCCCACACGAATGAATGAAAATGAATTCAGCATTCATTAAACACTTATTATGTGCCAGACAATGTGCTAAGTGCTGGGGATACAAAATACAGCAAGCTCTCAATTAGTTCAAATAATGAATCCCCTGAAATGGTTCTATCCGAATGGAAATACACAGTGCAAATTCAAACAATGTGACTACTTTAGGGGATTCATTATTCACATGAATTGGGACCTAGCTGCGCAAAAATCAAGACAGTTTCTGCCCTGAAATGGCTTACATTCTAAATAGGGAAGGTGATATGTAAGAAAGTGATGGCTAGGGAAGAGTGTTTTGGTCTAGGAACTCACAAGATGCTAAGGAGAGTTCCAGGAATGGTGGCATTGATTTAATTACTGTTCCCAAAGCAAGAGGTTGAAATTCGGGGGAAAGGAGGATGAGGATGGAAGGGAAAGAAAGATGTTGACAAGGCAGGAAGATGTCCAGAGTACAGCACAGTCAGTCTGCGAACGGTCACCAATCAGTCACTGAAGCCTTTCCTAATCCTCCTGGATGCTGGTGTCCTTCCTCCCCAAATTATCTTGAATTTCATCTCATACATTCTTCTTTTATTTACATATGTACATGTCTGTCTCCCTCATTAGAATGTAAGTAACTTGAAGGCTTAGCATAATTTCTGACTTTAGGAGTTTAATACTAAATGCTTGCTGATTGATTTATACCTCAATTTCACACCAGCCTAAAAGTTTAAGAACTAGATTGAAAGTTCCTCGAGGCAGAGACCATAATATCTTTAGATCACAAAATCAACTACATTGTTATGAACCCCATGGATCTAAAAAAAATACAAACAGATCATGTCTGAATATCTAAGATATTCAAATGATCATAAAAGATGGTTTTGCTTTGAGGAGACAGATATGTGCTCCCTATACATTAGGGCCCCCTAACTCCTAGTTTTACTCATTGGATAATTTAAGAGGCTGTATCAAAATAGACTTTTTGGACCCAAAACCAAGAAGAACATGGGTAGGTGGATTGATAAAAGGCTATTCCAGGAAGAAGAGAAAGAATGAAAGAAGGCACATAAGTAGAAAATAGAATTAAGGGGGAAACAGGGTGGAAGAAAAGCTTGCTTGGTCAGGGCAAAGGTTAGGCTGAAAGGAAAGGAGTGGGAGAGGAGGGATAAGGGAAGGAAGGATAGACTTCTTATAAAAAGAGAAAGATGCAGCTGGTATGAAAAAAGAGACAGTCGTGGTCTGGTTTTTGAGCAAACTGAAGTAGAAAGAAACTGGAAATGTAGAATCCAATAAGAAAGCTTCTCCAGAGGAAAAAAACAGATTGTTAGACCAAGGGATATAAATGGTATTAAGTTAATAGACTTTTAGTGCACATTATCATAAAAGGCATCCATTATCATAACTGCATTACATGGAAAATATTTTCAAGTCTTGTACTGAATGGACTCTTATAGAATCTCAAAGCTAGCCCTCTGTAGCTTTTTTCATGTTAACCATTCTTTGGAATTGATTTTCTTAGAAATGTAAGCCTAAAGGGGTAAAAAGCATCTGGATAAAGCCTTAGCTTTGCATGTGAGGAGGTCAAATAGAGGGTTCACTCTTTGGATTCCCCAACTACCTCCATCTAATTCTGAAAACCACTAAAAGTTGAGAATACATATTTCCTTTTCATTGATTTACTGAATTGCATTTCATTTCCCATTTCCCATTCAGTTTTTTGGGACAATCATCACTATTAAGAGACACTTAGGTAAAAGAACAACCATTGCATCTTCAAGTAGATGGTCCCAATAGAAGCTCAACTGCACTGTGTGTTTAAATACTGTCTGGGAACCTGTGTTACTGAACTCTTAGATTATTTCCCTTTTATCAACTTAAAAACAAAGCAAAATTTACTTCTGTGTTTTGAAGTTCCTATTGAATATTTACATCTTTCTTTTAAATATCAAATAGTGAATTCCCTTTAGCTTCAATCACGTAGCATGTTTCAATTTTTTCAATTTTTAAAATTTCCCTTTTAAAAAGTGAATTAAGCCTGTCTCAAAACTTGGCTTCACTAATGGACTTGGTTAATGTAGTGAAGCAAACCAGCAGCTCATAAACTCTTTGATGTCCCAGAAATAATCCATGCCTTGTGAACACTCTTCTGGCCATTTCTGCCCTCTGATAAATGCTGCTGTGAGATTTGAAAATCTCATTTAAAAATCTGGCTACTCAAAGAATATCCATGACCCAGCAGGGATGTGTGGAAGCTCTCACATGCTCTTCTAAAAACTGAGTCGTGGGCTTTTCGTACAATTCTGAAGTACATTCTTCTCACTTAATTCAGGTTAGTTACAACCAATACAATGAATCGGTTATCACCCCAGATGGGTGGGTTTGGACTAACTTTTGTGTAAGCTGCAAGGTATGAGGGAAAGAATACTAACATTGGAGTGGGGAAGATTAGGTTTAAATCTCACCTCTGATATTTACTAGTTGTCTACCGGGGAAATCATTTAACCTCTTCTCAGCCTCAGTGTCCTAATCCATAATAAGGGGCTAATAAAACCTGTAAGTAACTATCCTGTTTTCTATTTGGGTAAGAAAATCACTACACCAACCATATTCATTCCCCTCAAATTTCAAGTCAATGAATTAGAAAACTTAAGTGTCAAAAGCCTCCTGATTGTCATGTGTATCAGCAGTGTACTGAAAAGTCAATTTCATTAAATCTATACAAGCCAAACCTTGTTATAATGGACGTCAAAAAGCAAGTCAAATTCTGCTGTTGTACAGATGCTTTGTTATGTTGTATATGGAATGAAATAAAACGTTCTTGTTCTTTTTCTGAATAAGAAAAATAAGTAGAACAAGCATGTCTCCAAAGAAGATATACGAGAAGACATCTCTATCCCTATGACTTTGTGGAGGTGAAAGGACCATGGGTATGGGATATTGCATACATTTGTAGACTTACTTTTTTTCTCTTATGACTTACCATTTTCTTTATACAAAACAGTGAATAATCATACCCTGACTGGGAAAAAATGGTGGTTTAGGGTTTAAACAAGTCCTTCTGTCCTGAAGCATCTATTTTGAAGGCTTGGGACTAGCAGCTTTAGCCCCAGCATCTTTGGGTTTGGACTTGGAAGGCTTAGCAGCCTTGGAATCACTGGGCTTTGTGGCCTTAGAATCAGACTTGGCTGCCTTGGAATCAGACTTGGTGACCTTGGCGTTAGATTTGCCGGCCTTGGGGCCAGATTTGGTAGCATTGGGATCAGACTTACTGAACTTGGCAGCAGACTTGGTGACCTTGGGGTCAGTGGACCCAAGTGGGGTCAGTGGTTCTGGCAACCTTAGAGTCAGGCTTTGTGATCCTGGGCCCTGGACCCCGGTGGCCAACTTGTGGCCAGCACACCGGGCACTAGGGGATCTTGGGTCTGAGGAGCTTGGCCTTGGAGGCATTGGTGCTCAGGGCCTTGATGGCTTTGGCATTGTTGGCCTGCATCTTCTTCAGCCCCTTCTTGTTGTGTTTCTTGGCAAAGTGCATGTTTCTCGGAAACTTGAGGGTCAACCCCTTTCAGAGACTTGTATCTCTGTGACCTAGGTTTCTTAATGCCATTTCTGTGCCATTTCCGTGATTGGTTATGGGTGGTATGGGTCTTAGATGTAGCCATCTTTATACTTCAGCCTGCGCTAACAGGCCCTCCACTGACCAGAAGAGGCCAAAGGGAGAGAGAGAGAAAGCTTGACTTCTTTCTGATGTACTAATCACTTTTACTTTTTTTTTTCTTTTTGTTTTCCTTAAAAATGCAACTTGTTGTATAGAATGGATCCTAAGTGGGAGAAGGATACTGTGGGAAATTTTGGTGATATAAATAAACAAAAGATATCAATAAAAATTTATTTTAAAAATATGAAATTTTCATTGTAATTTTATTTACTGCAACAGGATTTGATTTTTGCTATATCCTTCAGACCCTTAATCCTTCTGATACCCTGAGGACAGTATTGTTTGTGTTAGTGCTAAAATAATCAAGGTGTAAATCTAACAATAAATTAAGTGTTTAGAATCAGGTCATACCTTAGCATTCATATTAAGATAACCACAAAGATAGAGGCCGCTAGGTGGCACTGTGGATATAGCACTGGCCTTAGAGTCAGGCGGACCTGAGTGCAAATGTGACCTGACACATAACACTCAGCTGTGTGACTTTGGGCAAGTCACTTAACCCCAACTGCCTCACCCCCCCCCAAAAAGAAAAAGAAAATCACAAAGATTACTTACCAAGCATCTGGTTCTTTCGACGTTACTGAGTTTTCCAGAAGCTGTGCCAGAAGTGTTTCCAATAGGCTTTTCAGCAGGTAGAGGTGGAGGGCTCTGTGGGTCATCTTGCAATACTGGAAAAACATCAATATTTCATTCCATCAAAATTATTCTGAGTCTTTGTGACATTCAAAAAAAAATGTGAATACTATTACAGGGCTTTTGCCTGAGGAAACGGATATCCTAAGAAGATACACAAAGTCTAGACTTGGGCAGGCAAGAGGGAAAAGCATGTTAAATTCAATTTAGTAAGTATATATTAAGCACATGCATACACAAAACACTATGCTAGGTCCTCAGGATGCAATGATAAAAATTAGATAGTCCCTGATCGCAAGAAGCTTATGTTGTAATGAAGATGAGGGTGGGAGGTAACACATACAAAGAGAGTTAAACATAAAATATGTCAAAAGTATATTGTCTACAACAATTAACATTCAAGAACACTATGTTGAACATATATTTGACACCCTTTCCCAAGTTGGACATTTATTCTCTGATATAAATACCTTGAGGTTTCCAAGCCTAATTATTCACATCAATGCACTGAACAAATAGTAATGTCAACACCCAATTTCATGAAGCATATTGTAATCCCTTTCATTATTTGGCAGATAAAGTGGGATGTGGTACAGTGCAAAAAGCCAGGAATTTGGAACTAAAGGACTGGAATTCAAATCCCATTTCTTCTACTTGTGACCTCAGGCAAATTCCTTTAACACTTTGGGCCCCAGTTTCCTCATATATAAAATTAGGGGGTTGGATCAGGTGGTTTCTAACGTTTAGCTCTAAGTATATAATCCTATAATTCTTCAACATGTTGCTGCTGTCAACTTGTCCTGGGTTTCCAAATGTAGCCAGGCTGAATTTCGAATGAGACACACATACTGGGCTACCAGGCTCATATTGGAAGTCTGTACAGCTTAATAGGACTTGTCAGAGCTCATACTCAATTGGCATGACCATTCCAGAACCCAGGGTCATCACCTTGCCCTGAGGAGAATACACACTGGAGAATATAGAAAGAAACAGAGAAGAAATAGAGGAGGGTTGAAAAGACAGTTTTCCTTTTCTTCAAGGGTTATTCCTTGCTTTCATTTCATATGAAAAAATCTAAAACAGGTGGACAATTTACTGATGCTTCCTGTCTGACTCAAAGACAGGAAGGCATTTCTCCTCCCACTCTCCCAAAGGAAGATAATATCAAGGTCAATGACTACAAAGAAAATGCTTCAAAAAAGACCAGGGGCTTCCTAGGCTGAGAAGTAGCATTGCTCAGTAAATTAAGCCATAGTAATACTAGGCCAGCTACACCACTTGCTATCATTATAGCTGTCCTCATGCCAAAAATACATTACTCTCCACCTTGGTGTTTGCAGGATGATAGATTTAGAGGGGGAAGGCTTATCTAGTCCAATCACCTTATTTAATAGATGAGGAAATGTAGAAAAGCAAAATCACTTGCCCAAGGTCACCCAGTCTATTAACTAGGCGGGGAGAGATTTGAACCCAGGTCCCAGGACTCCAAATCTACTGCTCTTTCTTCTTAAACAGAAAGGATGACAGACATCTAGACTGTAGCATTATTGCTAAGAAACATAAAAAAAGCCAGAGAGTAACCACACAGCAGAACAGAAGTGACAGCTTGCTGGTTGGCAAGGTCTGTTTCTGTCTTCCGCATAATTGTGCCTGTTCCCCTACCTGGCCTCAAAGCATCGTAATGATTTTCCTTTTCCCTCTGTGATTCTGCCAAGCTCTGTCCACTCGTGTCACTTGAGAACTTCATTCCTTCCTCACTCTCGAGTCCAGAGACTCTAGGAGATGGACTTTATAACCAGAGCAACGAGAAGTGCTAGGGACTAGTTGTTTATATGACTAGAAATGATAGTCTGAAAACTGGGGGTGGGGGGTGTTTAGGTTCTGTTCTGTTCTATTCGAATCTGTATCACAGAGTGCATGTGGCCATGAATGCTCTGGTGCTTTCTGTTATTGAGTAATTATTATTATTATTATTATCAGTCCTCCCTCAGAACATCTTTGAGAAGATTCAGGGCACATTGCCATGAGTGCTCTGATGCTTTCAGCTATTGTTATTTTTGCTCTTGTTATTATTATTGTTGTTGTTATTATTTTTATGAGTCCATCCTGAAAACATTCTTTGAAATGATTCAGGGCCCTTACTACCATTTTACATGAGGGAAAATTCAGGATCCAAAAGCAACCTTATTTAAGATCCATAGGCAGACACATCATAGCTGTGGATGTTTCTCTACTTTGATATTTCAACTGAGCTGGGACCTCAACACTGTAGTATAAGGAAGTAGATTGTAACCCATCCATGCCTGCCCATCCTGGGCAACTTTTGTCCACATCTTCCCACAGATTCTCCCCAGGGGCTTTTCCAACATTCTAAGAGGCTTCCTCTAGATCTTTTGTCATTACATGGATGGCAATATATCACTCTCCATCCATTAGCGCTCATTCTTGTCATGTGACTGGACCATCTTTTTTGCCCAATTCTTGACAGACAATGAACTGGTCTGTTCGTGACCACCATGCATCTTCCCATTGCCCCTAGGGAAACCCATGTTTGAGGGTTATATCATTTGTCATCAACTAAATCACATTTTGTCTGCAAATATCTATTTTTAAATTTTTTCAAATTTTTATTTTTTTGGTTAAGCAATGGGGTTAAGTGACTTGCCCGAAGTCACACAGCTAGTGAGTGTTATGTTTCTGAGGCCGGATTTGAAGTTATATGTCTGAAGCCGGATTTAAACTCAGGTCCTCCTGAATCCAGGGCCACCTAGCTGCCCCTGTCTGCAAATATCTAGAATACTAGCATTAAGATAAAACAAACAAAAGCTCAAGCTCATCATAACAAAGAAATACAAATGGGCATTATCAATGGCTCCTCTGGGCTATGTCCCACCTATAAATATTAGCACCAAGGCTAGAGGGAGTGGTTTAAAGAGAAGAACAAAGAGATGGTTCAGCATGACCACAAAGGAGAACACCAGGGCATTGGTTGTTCTGTGCTGTCTCTATAGATGTAACAGAAAGGCATGTAGTGGGAGATCTAAGGAGCTGGAAGAATTCAGTCCATTGCTGGTATCAACAGACTAGATGCTACAGTGGAGCCTCATGGTAGTTTTAATTGCTTATGAAGAGTGAGTCAGGGGGCAGCTGGGTGGCGCACTGTCCCTGGATTTAGGAGGACCTCAGTTCAAATCTGGCCTCAGACACATAACACTTACTAGCTGTGTGACCTTGGGCAAGTCACTTAACCCCATTGCCTAGCCAAAAAAAAAAAAAAAAAGAAGAAGAGTGAGTCAGACTCCAGTAAATCTCCAAGGTTGGGGAAGGATACGTTTGGAAGCCTTGGGATTCTTCCCTGACATAGAGTGTTTCTCTGTGTGTGTCTTCTAGTAAAACAACCTTTGGGGAAGTGGCCAGGAAAGCCTACACCTTCATTTTGAATAATGCTTTTTCTTGAAAAATTAAAACAACTAAATTAAAGCGGTGATTTGGGGGAGTCAGAAGAAAGCCCTGCTAATTTTAACTCTAGAGACAAAGGGAAATTCTAGTCATGAGAGCATTAAGTAAGCCAAAGCTCTAAGTAGGTGACAGGGAATTCATGTGGCTTAAAAGGTAAAGAGGCACCAGAGACACAAAGAGGGGATGGTAGGTATAACTTGGCTGATGAGATCCCAGAGAAAAGAGGTAGAAGTGTTACTGCTTTAAGTAGAGGCTGGAGATGGTGGAGATGGGTTAGGGTCATCACCTTTTCATGAATATCTAATGTATACCCTAGGACACAAACATTTTATTATCATCCTCCCGTGGGCATAAGCACTCCAGGCCTAGCAGTCTATCCATTGGGCCTGGAATCAGGAAGACTCATCTTCATAAGTTCAAATCTGGCCTCATACTTTCTAGCTATATGACCCTGGGCAAGTCACTTAACCCTGTCTGTCTCAGTTTCCTCATCTGTAAAATGAGCTGGAGAAGGAAATGGCAAACCACTCTAGTATTTCTGCCAAGAAAACCCCAAATGGGGTCATGAAGAGTTGGACACAACTGAAACACAAATCAGTCACTTCATGGAAAAATTGCTAAGCTTTCTTTCACTGTTACGGCACCAATCTACTGTTTCTTGATTGACCCATTTGAAAAGGAGATCACATCTGATAAAGGGATAACGGAATGTAGACATATATTTTAAAAACCTAATCATGTATGTTGTTTGATTGAGATGGGGGAATGTGTCAAAACCTCTCTCTTTCACTGTTATTAAAACTTAGAGCCCATAGGAGATTTATTAGTTATGATAACAAAAAAATCAAGGAAAGGAAAGAATTGCTGCAGAGCTCCATTAAAATGCAGGTTTTTTAATTAATATACTTTTAAGTTCTTAATTCTATTGTACCTTATGGTATCTACGACTAGATCTTGGTTATGAACTTTTTCATTCATTAATTTCAGTATTTCTCCCTTTTACTGAGATATTTACCAGATGCCAGAAAAGCAACAACAATAAGATTACTTTTTTTTTTTTTCACAGTTTTTCTCTCCTTTCCAAACAAATGCTTCCGTGTAAACTGGATTTACCAAGAAATAAAATAGTCAAAAGACAGGGGAAAGGAAGGAAAAGCTATGGACTTTTTAAATCAACACACTGTATAATCAGCTGTGAAATACTTTTTAGTTCAATGGGTTAATGTTGCACACCGAGACAAGCAGAATAATAGTTGCTGGCCCTGGAGTCAGAAAGACCTGGGTTCAAGTCCTGACTCAGATATATAATGGCTATGTGACATTGGGCATGTCACTTAACCTCTCAGGGCCTCAGGGAGCTAAAGCTATAAACTGCAGTCAAGTTGTGATCCAAAGAAGGGAATTTCCATACTAGGAGTTCCCTACACTGATGAACTCACAGGTCCTGATTTTTAAAAAACTGAGTATATGTTTACGATGCTCTTATAACAGCTTTTTTAAGAAAAAAAAAAAAAGCGAGCAGTTAGGTGGCGCAGTGGATAGAGCACCAGCCCTGAAGTCAGGAGGACCTGAGTTTAAATCTGGCCTCAAGCCACACACTTGACACAACGCTACTATCTGTGTGACCTTGGGCAAGTCACTTAACCCCAATTGCCTCACTAAAAAAAAAAAAAAGCTATGAAAAAAATAATAGAATTGTTAGGGACCTCATAGCAATATCACAAGAGTAAGAGGTGGAAGAATTCTTAGAGGCAGGTGATGAATGAGTGCGACAGGCTGGCTTCTTGCAGCAAATCCCCCTCAGAAGAACGGAAGAGGAGCAAAGCAAAAGAAGATGGGGGAGAGCTTACATTTCCCTGGCTTGGCTGGGATCCGGATCACAGTGGGCTTTCGCGTGGGCGCTGGCTGGACAACTCGTTCCTTTGGCGGTTCGGCTTTTGTGGGGAACTGAAAGGGATCTAATGAAAAACACAATTTATTTTGCATGTGTTAGTTAACACAGGCCTCAAACAAAAACCTCATTCATAATTAAAGAGTTATATTTTTCATGCCCCAGGGAAAGCTATTCATGGATAAACGCAATCTCAGTTCGCATGGACAAAAAACAAAGTTGGAGCTCATGAAAGGAAATAACTCAGTGCACTGTAAATAATTCATACAATTTTTTTTTGTCTCCAGGATAAGAGGAAAGATACAAGATTGTGAGAGCTTGAATCATGTACCAGATGCCTTCCAGGGCCATTCAGTCAATTAGCGAGTGCCCCTCTGGAACCCAGTGGTAAGTGACTCTAAAAACATTACTCTATACTCCAAGCAGATACTCTCACTCAATAACAAGGCTTAGGAATTCCTAGAATCTTAGTGAAAGAGCATGGAAAGATTTTCTAGTATAGAAAAGGGCTAGGAGATAACATTGCAAATAGTCATAATCGGCAGATGCAATCAATCCTTAGCATCCCCCTTCCCATTCATTCCCTTTTACTCTAGTCTGCTACTCCCAACTCTAATGATTTATAAAGAACTAATTGAAAAATAGAAAATAATTTGAAAAACTTCACATCAGGTGCCTAGATGTCTATGAAATAAACGTAAATAGATGTTAATTAATATGAGATGAGAAGGGAAGGCAGTGTTGTGCAGTGGAAAGAACACTGGATTGAGAGTCAGGTAATCTGAGTTTGAATTCCAGGTGGGCCACGTACAATTTGTATCACCCTGGGCCCTTCATCAAACCTCTGTGGGTTTCCTTATCTGTAAAATGAAAGGGACAGACTAGGTAATCTTTAAGAGCTCTTCCAGCATTGAGTCACATAGCAAGGCTTGTGACATACCTTCAGTGAACGTTTAAGCATCATGGAATGCTGGAGCTAGGAAGTGGCCTTGAAGTTCATCTAATAATCCACAATCTTTCATTTTATAAATAAGGAAACTGAGGCTCAGAGACATTAAGTGACTTACTTAAGGCTTGGCATCCAGTCCTAGAACCAATCTAACTTTACTGATGAGGGAAAACAGGATTGAGAAAAATACTCTGGGATGAATTGATCAATAAATGTTTATTAAAATGCTGATCACAAATGCTGACCACTGTAATAAACTGCACCAAGACAAAGGACCTTTGCACCAAATACATCCTTTACATTCAAAGTAAATACAAAGTAATTTGGGGGAGGCACAAGGAGCTTGGGGAGGGGATTAGGAAAACTCTCATGTAGGACATGGCACCTGAGCTAAGTTTTGAAGAAACGCAGACTCCATGAAGAGGAAGGTCATTCCAGGCATGGGATATAGTTTGTGCAAAGATGTAGGGACAAGATGGAATATCACATATGGAGAACAGTAAGTGGGTCAAGTGTGGCTGGAACACATGAATACACAATAGACAACAGAATACATGAACGAGAAGAATAGGCAAAAAACTCTCAAAAGGTAGGTTGGAGACAGACTGTGATGGGCTATAAATGTCACACAGACACTGCTGTACTTCATCACAGTGGCAACAAGAATCCACTGGTACTTTCTGGTGAGCCTTGTGCTTTTTGGGATATGACTTTAGAATCTCTTTTGGAGGACGGACCAGAGAAGAGAAGAGCCTTGAAGCAGGGAGATCAATAAGGGGCAACTGATGGGCGTGAAGGAGTGTCACGAGGTAAGCTTGACTCTACAGTTGCAAAGCAAGGATACCAACTCAAAAAAAGACTAAGGAACTATTATTATTGACAACAAGCAAAATGAATATGTACTGCAATTCTCTGCCTGTTCTGACCACAAGGTGAGATACTGCTTTCACTCCACCAAAAATAAATTAAAATACCAAAGCAAAATACAACAAAACTTGTTTAGGCTCAATATTTTGTTATGATCTTCTATTTAATAAACACCTTCAGTTGAATCTTTAGTTGGGTGAAATTAGGAAGCACCATGGATGAGTAGGAGGACTTTCCAATAGTCAGTAGCAAATCCATAAGTCCCTTCTACCCAGCTTTCCCCAACTTCAGGGGACCACCTCCAGTCATCCTGATCTATCTCGCCACTGGACCCAGATGGCTCCAAAGGAGATTAAGGCTGGTAACTTTGCACAGCCCTGCCTCACTTAAATCCAATTCACTTGCAAGTCGTGACATCACCTCCCTGACGTCATGGTCCTCTTCGAGAACGAAGGACAAACAACTCCAGTTCTGCTCATAATTGTTCAGAATTCCTTGGGCCACACAATCTCAGTCTGATTTTCTTATCTTCTTCCTTAGCTGCTCTCCTAAGTTACCTGGAATTTGACTTAAATGCTACTAAATAACTGTGAATCATCTGTGCTTTAAAAAAATACAATTTATTTGTGTCAGTGCCAGAGAGGATGCCCACTTGTCCAGTGTGGGTGACAAGGGACACTTGGTAGTCCTTGGAGAAATAACAGCCCTCTTTGCCACTCTACCAGAATTGCTATGATTTCATTGTGACCCCTGCAGTTCCTTGACCCTAACCTGGAAAATCATATGATACACTTTGTGTGCCTTGCCCCTACTGACTTCAAGGAAACTTCCTGGCTGGGCCATGGCTCAAGCTTGAGATGCCTGGCATAGGTTGCCATCCACAGGAACAGTCAGTCTGGGTTATGATAATTTGAACACTATAATCAAATAATCTTAGAGCTGGAAGAGGTCTGAGGCACCACCTAAGCCGATCCTCTCATTTTACAGATAAAGTCTGTTAGGCATTTGCGGAAGGGCCAGATATATCCCAACCAAGTTAAAAGAATCTAATACCATGACTCTGAAAGAAGACTCATAGTAGCATAATATAATGGTAGCTAGGGCTTACCACTGGCTATGCAAAGTTGAAAGATAACGTGACACAGTGGAAAAAACCCTGGATTTTAAGTCAGAGGAAAACAGTTCAAACGCTGGCTTTTAATAATTACAAGTTGTGTCACATTGTGACCCCAGGCCTCAAATTCTTCATCTTGAACACAGTCATAATACTTGCAGTATGTACCATACAGGAAGGAAAGTAAACCTTAAAATGTAATAAAAACATGACTTATTATTGTTTCTACCACCTTAGTTCCTGAAGGCCTGAATCCTACCTAATCTATTAATCAGTTTATTTTATTTTGTTTTGTTTATTATATTTAGATGAAGTCAGAGGTCACCTCATATTTGCATTCTAAGTAGTTCTTCCCACTTGCTAATAACACTCGGTATCTTTGCCAAGAAAACTCCAAAATGGGCTCATGAAGAGGCAGCCACAACTGAACACATTCAACAATAACATGTTGAACTCTTTCCAAAGAGATAGATGTATTGGGGCAACTAGATGGCGCCAGAGTGCACAAAGCATTAGGCCTGGTCAGTTCAAGTGTGACTGCAGACACTAGCTGCGTGACCCTGGACAAGTCATCTAATCTCTGTTTGCCTCTATAAAATAGGACTAATAATAGCAATTACCTCCTTGGATCAAAAAGAGAGATTTGTTAAGTATTTAGCATAGTGCCTGGCACCTCTCAGGCACTATATAAATTATTACTCCCTTCTTCATTAGAGAAGACAGGTAATCTTTCCTCCTTAGCAGATTTCATCTTATACATTATTGTAAAATAAATGCAATTTGTTTTCAGCTCTCTTTGACTACCCCATTTTGATACTTTCTACCTTCCCATTTTTGCATCAAGTCGTGCTGCCTAAGAGTCTCTGGTACAGAGCCCTACCAGGATAGGCAGCCCTCATTTTTTTTTTTAAAGGCAATTGGGGTTAAGTGACTTGCCCAGGGTCTCACAGCTAGGAAGTGTCGTGTTTGGTCTGAGGCTGGATTTGAACTCAAGTCTTCCTGACTTCAGCGTTGGTGATCCCCCATTTTCAATATCTCTTTCCTCTTCTGCTTCTTTTTCCCCCAACTCTTAGCCATCAAGCATTCCATTCTTTCAGGGCCATGTTCTCAACTGGGATCAGAGCAACTAATTCAATCTAAGATGTTAAGACTAATAATGGCTCCATGTACTCTGCCTTTGGGAAGGTATTTGCATTTTAATAGCTGTCCTCAATACCATTAAACCAAAGGATTGATCCAGAGGAGTAATGTGGGAATTTAGGCCACCATGATAAGACAATAGGGATTTCTAGACAGGTACCCATACATACACATGTTAAGTGTGATTTCAAATCTGGGTGTGTAAGGCTGGTACAACTTTCAGTAATTATGTGAAGAAGCAGGTTTTACCATCGTTTTTCCCAAATTGGAAGACTCTAACTGTATAGTCTAGTGGCAAAAGTATCTTGATTTTATAACTAAAAACCTGTTAGTTTTTAGTTACCTACCTTATTACCATGTGGGCCCTTAGCTGGTCTCTAATAATTTGCACTGAGGCCATGCACAGTTATTATACGACATATCTTTTAGGGATGAGCATGTTTAATATGAATTTCCCATTTAAGTCCAGCCAGGCGAATGAGTCTCAGTGTTGCACCACTGCGGGCCTCCTGGCGGGAGTGGGCCTGTTTAATTATCTACCCCAGCTGTGCTCACTGAGCAAAGTGATTGCTACATCTGTTTCCCTGTCTGCATGGTACCCCTCAGCCTGCAATCAAGGCCAGAAACTCAGAATTACTGGGAGGAGAAAATAATACTCATTTGGTAGGAAGGCTATGTACCCCTGGTATTTTTTCATGATGCTTATGATACACAGATCCTGCTCTCAGTGCTCAGTATAAAGTTCATCTCAAACCTCTATGCGTGAGACAGGAATTTTTTTTTTTTTCATACAAAAACTGAAGAAGCAGGCAAGATGTCTGGAGGCTTAATATTCCACAGCCCAGCTCTGCCTCTAGGAATGCTTACACCCACTCAAGTGCTGTTCGGCAGAAAGCCTTTTTTGATCTCTCCAGGTGGTAGCATTCTTCTCACCTCTAGCATTACTTTGTACACTTATAGTACTCATCTATCTATAAACATTTTGTCGATCCAGCCC